GGTTTTATTTAAACAGGTGAATTTAGAATATATCTATGAGATGTGTTCTTCTCCAGATGCCTTCTCACATGCTGAGGCATCATTATTTATATTTTAATTAAATAACTTTGAGTTGAGCACAAAACATTGTGGTGGGTCCAAGGGGTAGTGATACGCAAAACATGACGCTGTATTCTGAGAGCGTTACTTAGCCTCTTCTACTCAATCTCGACTCTCACCTCAAAGATGGTCACCTGAGTAATCCTGCGAGAGACTGTGGGAACTAATCCCTCATACCCAAAAAACGATATTAAGATCATACTGAGATATTTTGACACGTAAAGAAAAACCAATACCCAGGCATAATAGGTAAACAGCCTACACAAGAAATGCAATGACAATGGCACTAGCTTAATCAACCTGGAAATCCCTCTCATTATGATTATTATAGCTACATGATTTCAGCGCAAAGACATCCCCAAGCGACGTGGGTATCCACAAATAGCCATACAGTCAACATGATAGATCACTTCGAACGTCGACTCTTGCCACTATTTGTTAGAGAATTGCGAATGTAAAAAAAAAATTGGACAAAACCACGAGAAATTCAACCTACAGAAAATGTACATGATAGAATGTATCAAGCTTATAGAAATCTACAATAACGTAGATCCAGACAAACACACGAGGAATACAGAGACTGGGGGAAGAAAGAAAAGAAGACTCATAGATGGAAATAGAGAAATGCCATTAACCAAGAACACAGTGGGAGACGAGGAAATTCTACCGGAATCTTAATAGGAATAGGAAACGACTTAAATCTAGAACAACAATCAGTTTGGACAAAGAGGAACGAATTCTGACAAAACAAGGCGAAATACTGGAAAGATGGATGGTTTACTATGAAGAAAAACTGAAAATTGAACAAGAAGAATGGAGCGAAGAGGTTTTTCCGTATTCATCAGACAACAGAGAACAAGAACTGATCTAATTCTGAGAGTAGAACAAACACTGAGGCTGGAAAATGGTATAATAATACAAAATGAAATAAGAACAATATTCAGATTAAATAAAGGGTTGATGCACCATCTCATGCATACTCTTCAACATGGTACTCGAGAAGCTCATACGGGATGCCGGTATCAATACGAGAAGCACAATTGTCAGCAAACGCGTACTAATACTGACGTTTAAAAATTCACCCATTAAAAAGTCATCTCCAAACCTTTTCCATAGGAGAGCATCAAAACTGTAGAGCAACTTTTATACCTGAGCTCATTGGTTTTGCAAAATATTTACACACAAGTGTATAAATAAAATTAGTAGGAACTGTCAATGAAATGTCTTGATTATCCTCCAGGATGCATTTTCAAATAGTTCTGCAATTCTTTTGTTGCACTGCTGTGTACATCTAAGCGCACTTATCCGCGTTGGCATGTATATGTGCTGATTTATACCACGTTATTTCTTGTGGCACACATTTTTTGTACTTATTTTCCTTTAGCTTACTACCACATTGTGGATCAATTAGACCATGCGCAACTGCTGCACAAAACATCTTCGTTGGTATTTCATTTGTATTTCTTTCTGGAAATGAAAGATATGAATTTACACGCAAACATCTTGAAAGTACCACAAAATGTCTTGGTTATGCAGATTAAATATAAGGGGACCAGCAACCTTTTTATATTGAATTATCTTCTTTCTTGTTGTAATCACCATGTTATTTGACGGATTGATAGAACTGAAATGTCATATATATACAGGTTGTGTCAAATGTCTGGAATTTTTTTTCGAGATGTAATGTTTCAAATATAAGTTTCTTTATTAATTATGACGCATTTTTTGGCGATTGGTTGCTATGGCAACCAACATTGTTATTTTAAATGGGATGCATATAATATATAAAAAAGATATTATCTTTTTTGCATACTTTGATAGAGCATAAGTCAATCTATGCGATGAACATATCAAATCATATGGTTGTATAAGAAAAAATCGAGAAAAAATGCGTTTTTTGAAAGTATTAAATCAGCTAATTATAATAAAAGTAGGAGCCGAAATAGCGCCGTTGACAGCTTTAAATGTCAAAAAAATTACAGTTTCAACAATTATGAATAATTAATAATATATGATCATTGGTAGCTGTCTTTGGCCATCAACTTTTTGGAGGGTTTTTAACACTACTTTTAACGAATTTTTTTAATATTTTCGATACTCTGGATTGTGTAATTTGTGTATCCGAGTAAATATTATTGAACAGTGTACAAACTTCACTTTGAGTGCGTTTTCTATCACCATACCCATACATTATTTATATTTGAATTCTTTGTCGTTCGCTTAATTGCGCCATATGTGTTTAAACTGTCAATTTCTTGACATTTAAAGCTGTCAACGGCGTTATTTCGACAACTACTTTGATTGTAATTTGCTGATTTAATATTTTCATATGATTTGATATGATCATCGCGAAGAGAGATTTATCCTCTATTAAAATGTGCAACAAAAACATATGCATCCCATTTAAAATAACAATGTTGGTTGCCATAGCAACGAAACAAAGAGTTTAATGTAAACAAGAATTTTTTATTTGAAACATTTTTCTTTAAAACCACAAATGGCGAAGTTATTGGCTATATTCTAGACATTTGACACATCCTGTATATAACCTTAATGCGATCGATTCTGGTATGTGGATCCGAAACTTGGGTGATATCCAAAAACGATGAATGTTTCCAACACATATTTGAAGACGCGATGGAGCACAGCAAATGACGAAGATGCTATAACTTTGAATTATACAGGGTAATTCAAATTCGACCCCTACCATTGGGATCTCAGAAACCATAAGAGATACAGAAATGGTTAAATGGCGGCAAAGTTGCGTATCTTAGAGATCATCATTTTTCAACTATGTTTTTGGATCTAGCCGTTTTAGTTTTTAAAATATGACTGAAAAACAAAAAAATACTTTTTCGTTTTTTGCCTATAACTTCTTTATTTTTAGTTTTTTTGTGAATCTGAAAAAACATTCTTAAGGCAAATTTTTATGAAAAATGTCATGGCACAACTAGAAATTTTCTCCAACGTTTCGTTTTCGTGAAACTATCATCAGGAATACGTATGAGAATCCAGACATCGTCAAATTCGTAAAAATCAGCCGCTTGCATTGGATGGGTCGTATGGAAAAAATAAAGGACCAAGATACCTTCATGAGAATTACTAAGCAGGTAGTAGTAGGTGTAGCATGCTGTGCACACGATAGGTAAAAACAAATCATGTTGCTATACAAAAATTATTATTATCAATCAACGTGTTCAGTTATTTCATTAAATATATTATTATTATTAAATAAATTATATTATTATTTTTATTATATTGTGGACAAACCCCACAGTAGGTAAAAGGCTTAGAAGACAGCCCAAGATGACTTAGATATATAGATCAGATGGAAGATAACATTAAATCCCTCAATATCATCAACTATAGAAGAGAGATGCCGAACAGAACGGAATGACGGAGTCTCTTAGGACAGGCTAACACCCACAGAGTGTTGTCATGGTACAGATGATGACGAAGAGGCAGTTTCATAATTCTCCTAAAACATCCATTTACATCTAGTCAACATTTAATCACCTCATTTGAACCCAATGTTCCAATTTTGACTTTCTAATCGTGAAATTCCTCTTAAATAAGAAACTTTAAAGACGTTGACTTATTTTAAGTTTTAAATTGTTCTAAGACTTAAAAATTATTATTCGTATTATTACCATGTTCAATAACTTTTATTTCTCACTTACTTGTTACATATTCATTGGGAGAATCATACTTTTCTGCGACATTTTGTACTCTATAAAAAAATTCCTTGAACGAAATGTAACCGGATTTTTTTGGGTCCAGTTGATTTAAAATCCATCGAATGTCCTGAAATTTATAATAAAAATAATAATAATTTATTTAAATTCAACTTTGTATGCAAACAAACAAAATGAATTTCTTTTGTTATAAAATCGTGTATAAATAGCATGAACACTATTCAATTAAAGTGTGACACATCGTTCGTTAGTAAACCGGAAGTTGAATAGTATAGGAATCTACTGCGTAACATTGCAGTTTACCACTTTCGTTTCTTTTTGAAAATATTTTTATTATTATTTATATTTCTAGAACGTTTAGATAACATTTTTGAAAGCTTACAAAGAAAATAACATATATGTTTTTGGTATTATTACCTCACTTCCTTTTCCAAGTTGATTCCTAACCAATTTCCGCAAATGTCCAGCCCTAATCTTCCCAGTTCCATTCGGATCACACAATTTAAACACTCTAATGACTTCCCAAGCAGGAATTTTGACATTCTCACTCATTTCCTTTCCTTAATCCAACTTCAAAAATGATTTATTTCTTTTTTATATTGTTTCGCGAATGCATTAGGTGTGTTTTCGCGACAAACTTCCATCGGTAACTAAACGAACCGTGTGTTGGTTTCACCAAGTCTCGAAATTTGTAACGCACAATTGCTTTAAAAGTAAAAACGACCACTTTTCAATTTGTTTCTTTTTTCTTACCGAAGGCGTTGTTGGATATCTTCAATGCATTGCGGGGGGGCAATTAGTTGAAAAGGAGGATTTTTAATTGATTTGCTGTTATGGTTTCGAAGCAAACCGATTATTATCCACACAAACGATGTGTGAAGTCGAGATTTTCTCAAGGAACGAAACAACGAATAAAGTTTACTAAAAGTCTCACGAAATTACGTCGGATATAAACAGTATTTTTTTAATTATTATGGAAGTTAAACGAGTTCATTATAATCTTATTACAAGATTCATGTGAATTTAGCACTATATCTTTTAAATTTACATATTTAATTGATTTCTTAACCACGCTTTTATCATCCAATTCACCTTACAAAAATAACTTTAAGATAATTTTAAAAGGTGTAAATGCAAATACTAACACAGAATTACACTCTATATAAAAGAAACAACCTTTTCGATTTTAACAAATATCGATAGTTTATTTTAGTTGCAATTCAATATGACTTTGTATAAGTGCAAACTATTCTTTTTGAGTTTATATCGAGTTTTTGAGGTATTTATAAGCTATAATAATTGAATCTTATAAAAGAAAAAAATATATAATTTCAGGATTTAATGGGATATGATTTAAAAAAATCGAAAAATTTCTTGCACAACATCCTCATTATTTCAACAATAACTTTAGCAGTCACATTTTATGTAATATTAGCATCTTTCTTTTTCATTTTTCGTTTCATCACTTTAATATGTTTAAAACTTAAATACAGAAGTGCTTTTATTGCACCATTATCGTCGTTAGACGTGATAAATGAACGAAGAAATAGCAAAGTAATAATCCAAATCGTTCTCATGGAGCGAGTTAAGAATTCTTTCCAAGATGTTGTAAAATGTGTTAACGAAAAAATGAGGCGAGCCGAACAGAGTTGTCAAAAATTAACTTGTACTGTTAAAAATTGTTTTGGTTATTATTATTATTTACAAACAAACACCCAGGGGGACGTTCAAATTGTAAATTTTAATCTTAATGGAGGGTATCTTACAAAGAATGACATTAAAATGTATTTGAATGAAAATTTTGTTGATGTTAATAATACGTTAAATGATAAAATGTGGAAAGTAACTATTTTAAATCAATTCGTTAATTGGAATTTTAAGGAAGATCTTCAATATGCGATTATTATTAGCGTTCGGCATTGTGTTGGCGATGGAGCTGCGATTATAGGAATGTTAAAGAATAAAATTTTTACAAAAACCGATTTTATATTTATCAAAAGCAATTTGGATTCAAATAACATTCAAAAAAGAACACTTTTATCTGAAGAACTTTACAAAAATCCACTGAAAGAAAACGGAAAAGATTGTTTTAAAGATCTCCCTTACAACCCTAAAGAATATTTATCGTTTTTTACTGAAGAACAACCAAAATATGTTACCATGATAAAGAAAATTAAAAATAAATTAAATATTCAATTTAGTGACGTTCTAATCGCTGGAGTTGTAACAGCCATTGTGAAATATTGCAATAAGGTTTGTTATATTTAATAACACTTTTATATTAAAAAACAAAAACTTTTAGAATAAAATTCTATTATCTTCTTTAAATGGAGCCACAACTGTTACCCATTTGACAGAGTCGCATAAAAGTTTATTTTCTGGGGAATTTAATTTTAATAAAATTTCAAATCATTCCGAATTATTACGTTTGGATCTCCCGATTGATTCCAAAAATGTTATTGAGATGGTTTTAAAAATTAATGAAATCAAGAAAAAAGCAATGAGAGGAATAGAAATTCCCGTAAAAAATATACCCAATAACATACATAAAAATTATTTTTTCTTTTTTTAGCTACACAAAATTCTTTTTAAGATAATGCCAGTTTTTCCAGCAATAGTAATACAGCATTTAACGGATTCTTTTACAAAAAACATCGCTTTTAATATAACTAATATTTCTGGAATAAAAGATGGGATTGTGGATGATAAAGTGTTTAACAATATCTTATTCTTTGCATCGCAATTTTATAATTTTGGATTTTGTTTCTATATTTTTACGCTTGGTGATAACTTTCAAGTTGCCGTTAAAAGCAGAAAGGGTGTTGTAAAGAATGTTGAAGATCTTGATTTTATTCTTGATGATATTAAGGAATATATCGACGATCTATATAATGAGCTTGAATTCAATGATAAAAATAATGTGTCAAACATAATATAGAAATAAGTAGCAGGCGAACTTGTATTAGAGTTTTTAGTCTAATCACATTTTAAATATATATTTACTTATAAAAACATTTTTATTTGTTTGTATTTGAAAGTGGAGTGCCCTTTGTAAAAATGTATGAAATGTACAATATCAGATATTAAAAATTAGAAAAACGACATTTATATTTGCAACCAAGCTACATTTAGACTACATTTTTATTAGATGATGGATCTAAACGGGGGAAACAACAAGGATTGCAAAGGATACAAAAATGTGTTGACATCAAAATTTGTCGAGAGTAGTAAAAACTTCAAGGAGAAGTGTTTCTAATCATGAACAAGACAACTGTCATGACAGAGCCCCTTAGCATGAAGAAAAATTTACGGTGATAGAGACAGCAATGTCTTGGTACGAAATGTAGCCGCAATGTACTGATCTAACATCCGTATAAAAGACTTTTAGACAGAAAAAGAGTTTTAACTAATGATGGAACGGATATTAAAAACCTATTACTTAGTACTCCACCATTCACAAGAATTAGTATCTCTTTTAGGCGTTGGACACTGCAGATAATAATCAAGTTCAACCACAACAGGACTTTTTTCTTTGAATACAACTTTATTTATATCAGGTTTGTCTTTAACAACCTCATTGTAAGAATCCCAATACGATACATAAAATCTCTTGTTACAGTTTCCTTCTCTTCGCTTGTAATTCATCATCACGTTCATTACTAACAAAATTGTCGCTGTTATCACTTTCGATTATTAATTAAAGTATCCTCTTCTTCATGCAAAAAGCCGTTTTGAAAAATCACTTTTAGTTCTTGATAAAATCCGCAATTTTTTCGTTTTTTGCAATTCACTGCCGATTAAAAGCACACCTCAATTTGTTGGGTCTAGCCGACGATGCTGAATGCCGACTATGTGGGGAGGACGAGAAGACAGTTGAGCATGTTTTATGCCATTGCTCGGTTGTTAATCGATTTTTGGGTCGCAGTTTATCTCCCCAAAGGATCTAAATTACTTTTGAGCATTGAATTGCACGGTGAAATTTGATAACGTTATCTGTTGGGGTACAATAGATCCTTAGGGTCGCGGTGCAAGGTTAGTTGGTCCGCCTACCCGATATGTAATTTATGTAATGTAATGTACATCTCTATGAAGGTCATGTTTATACTTGTAAGGTTGATACAAATCGTAAGTTGAATGATTATACCGAAGATAACGGGTCACCAAGAAGAAGAAGCAACAGATTTATCCTTTTTGGTGATATGAATATTGATCTTTATTCGTGTTCTCACCCGGCAACGGAAAAGCTTTTATTGTTTTTTCAAGCTTATGATTACAAACACGTGGTGAAGTCGCCTACTAGAGTCACAACTAATAGCTTTTCTCTTATTGATCTAATTATCATTCCCAATGTTGTATCTCTTATCGGCGAGACCACTACTGTTGACTTAAACGATTTTACTGAACATTTACTTGTTTACTTTTCACTGTCGATGCCGGGAAATTGTTATCCAGTTTTTAAGATAATTAGAGATTATTCAGCCTTTAATGAGGAACAATTTGATAATACATTGCTTTCCCTAGATTGGTGTCAAATTTTAGAATATCCAGATATAAATGATAAATTATGTTTCTTTAATATCAATCTNTTTTCCGACTTATATATAGTCACCGATTTTTGATCTCGTCACTTCGAACCAGTTTCTAGTTTTACTTCTAATTTTAGTTTAACTATTACTTAGTACTCCACCATTCACAAGAATTAGTATCTCTTTTAGGCGTTGGACACTGCAAATAATAATCAAGTTCAACCCCAATAGGACTTTTTTCATTGAATACAACTTTATTTATATCAGGTTTGTCTTTAACAACCTCATTGTAAGAATCCCAATATGATACATAAAATCTCTTGTTAGAGTTTCCTTCTCTTCGTTTGTAATTCATCATCACATTCATTACTAACAGAACTGTCGCTGTTATCACTTTCAATTATTAATTAAAGTATCCTCTTCTTAATGCAAAAAGCCTTTTTGAAAAATCACTTTTAGTTCTTGATAAAATCCGCAATTTTATATATTATTTTTTTTCGTTTTTTTCATTTCACTGCCGATTAAAAGCACACCTCAACTTGTTGGGTCTAGCTGACGATGCTGAATGCCGACTGAGTGAGGAGGACGAGAAGACAGTTGAGCATTTATTTTATGCCATTTTATGCCATTGCTCGGTTGTCAATCGATTTTTGGGTCGCAGTTTATCTCCCCAAAGGATCTAAATTACTTTTGAGCATTGAATTGCACGGTGAAATTTGATAACGTTTTCTGTCGGGGTACAATAGATCCTTAGGGTCGCGGTGAAAGGTTAGTTGGTCCGCCTACCCGATATGTAATTTATGTAATGTAATGTACATCTCTATGAAGGTCATGTTTATACTTGTAAGGTTGATACAAATCGTAAGTTGAATGATTATACCGAAGATAACGGGTCACCAAGAAGAAGAAGCAACAGATTTATCCTTTTTGGTGATATGAATATTGATCTTTATTCGTGTTCTCACCCGGTAACGGAAAAGCTTTTATCATTTTTTGAAGCTTATGATTACAAACAGGTGGTGAGGTCGCCTACTAGAGTCACAGCTAATAGCTTTTCTCTTATTGATCTAATTATCATTCCCAATGTTGTGTCTCTTATCGGCGAGACCACTACTGTTGACTTAAACGATTTTACTGAACATTTACTTGTTTACTTTTCACTGTCGATGCCGGGAAATTGTTATTCAGTTTTTAAGATAATTAGAGATTATTCAGCCTTTAATGAGGAACAATTTGATAATACATTGCTTTTCCTAGATTGGTGTCAAATTTTAGAATATCCAGATATAAATGATAAATTATGTTTCTTTAATACCAATCTATTGTATGTGTTTGATAAACATATACCTGAAAAAAAAGTTAAAATATTGAGGCCCTTTGCTCCTTGGATAACACCGACTATTAAATCAATGATGAAATTAAGAGATAATACGCTTAAACGTTTTAAACAAACAAAGCGTCAAGAGCAGTGGGACTATTACAAATCATTACGAAATTGTCACTTTTGCTAATCGTAAAGATCAAAAAGTATTATATTCAGAAATACAGCGTATCAAAATAATAATTCAAAGAAACTGTGGAAACCGTATAAGGATTTGGGAATAGGAGGGGTAAATAAAAAAATTGAGATTCCTAATCATTTGGATTCAGACCGTTTCAACGATAGTTTTTAAGTGCTTCCACGGATTATATTGAAGTTAATCTATTAAACTATTATTTAAATAATAAATACAGAAATTTTGACGAATTGGTCACTTGTCGCACAGTTAGTGAGCATGAAATCGCTGAAATTGTACGAAGCATCAAATCAATTGCGATTGGTAGCGATTTGCTTGGCATAAATATCAATAAAATCTCCTGTCCGCACCTACTTAGAAAATATAACACATACAGGGGTGTTCATTTCAAAACTTTCCACCTCAATTTCTGTAAATCCGGAAGTTTAAAAAGAAAATCGCTGAAATAGGTAAAGAATAAAACCAAGGGGGACAACTTTTTATGCAAAAATTGACTNACCTATAAGCATACTGCCATCACTCTCTAAAGTTCTTGAAAAGATCGTCTGTAAACAGTTGCGTGAACACTTATTGAACTATAGTATTTTACCAGAAACACAATCTGGATTTAGACTAAATCACAGCTGTAACATTGTACTTCTGAATGCGTGCGCTCGTGCTTTTAGACTTTTCCAAAGCGTTCGATAATATAATCCACAAATTATGAAAAAAAAGTATGTACATTGGTGTAAGTGACCAAACAGTAGGTTTTTTTAAACAATACATTTCTTGTAGAACTCAACGAATTAAAATTAATAACAGCCTTTCCGAAGCTTTAGCTGTGAAATGTGGTGTTCCAAAGGGCAGTATATGTGGTCCTCTTTTATTTATTATTTATACAAGTATGTTTAGTGAACGAATAAAATTTTGTAAATTTCACGCATATGCTGACGACACTCAGTTGTCTTATTCCTTTCATCATAATAGAACTGACATGGCTGTTGAACAAATGTGCAAACCCTAGTCGACATCTCTGCTGCACATGGTTTAAGAATTAGTTCTACTAAATCAAACATTATCATATTTGGTAATAAAAATCATTTGGAGTCAGTGGAGTCTCCTTTAAGTATTACTGTCAATGGTCAACAATTACAGCATGTCAGTACTGTTAAAAACTTAGGTTTGTGGATTGATAACGATTTAAAATTTCATACCCACGTAAATAAAATTATTCAGAAATCATACGGTATTCTAAGATCATTATATTCTTATCAGCATATCTTAAATGAAACTAGCAAACGTACTGTTACGGACTCATTGATTCTTTCTTTATTTAATCACCGTGATTCGGTTTATGTGCTTGTATTATCAAAGAATCGAATAGGAGAATTCAGTATGTTCAAAATTGCTATCTTTGATTTATTTATGGTATTCGTAAGTATCACAGAATTTCACATAAACTGAAGGAGTGTAGATGGTTGAGTATGTCAAATAGAGTCAACTGCACGAGGATGTAGTGTTTTTTGGAGTATTGGCTGATAAAGTGCCTGTATATTTACATACAAAAATTAGTTGTCGTACTGATATGCATAATATTAATATTCGCCGTAGAGACCTGCTTACGATTCCTCGTCACGAGTTATCCGCCTATCGACATTGTTTTAGTTTCAGAATCGTCAGATGTTGAAATTCTCTCTCTAGTACGTTAAAAGCTTTAGACACCCGGCATTTCAAGTTGAAATTCAGGGGTACTTTGTGTGAGCTTCAGAATGAGTAAAGATGAGCAATTTGTTTTTACGTTTATCATATTCAATTGTGTTATATCATTTAGGTGTTATATCAATTTATGAGTTATTTTGTTTTTGCGCATATATATTTTTTTCTTTTTGTATATTAACTAAAGCGGCTTGCGGTAGAAGAGGCTACGTTTCGATGTTGCCTGAGCTAGCTCCGATTAGCTTTACGTTTATATTGTATTTTTTTTGTTTTTTACCTGTAACTAATTATGTACGTGAAAGAGCTAATAAATGTATTATTATTATTATTAGATACAGTATGCGTGTTGGTTTTATGTAATTTCTTTGTTTTAGGTATAACAGAACGAATAACCAGGCGACTGAAGGAAACAATTTATGAAATGAATAGTTGAAAGGAAAGGCCAAACTTCTCCCATTAAAATGGTCAAGGATATGCACAAACAAGGTATGGACAAACCGAATGGAACTTCGAATATCGTATTACAGATTGAAAAAAGGTTCGACAATATAAAAATGCTTGGCAGGAACAACCATTATTGCCAGAGGATAACTAGAGAGGCTATAAAAATTTATCAAGATAAGAACATACAACGTCGACTTCTAAGAACAGATAAATTATAGATAGATTTAAAGATATTAAAAACTACATCTTTTATAGGTTAATGTACAAAAATTGAATAAAAACTTTCCGTAATTTTGCATGAATTTATTGATTTTATGATTACAAAAACGTTCAAAAAACATTAACATAAGAAAATACAAAAATTATAAAATATTTTGATGATTTTAAGAAATAATGTATTCTTTATATTTAATAGTAACGTTAGGAACACAAACTTAGAAGTGAAAATTAATAACAATTAAGTCAAACCACTCGTTTCACAAAAATAATATAAAAAGAAACATGTCTTAAATAGTTAAGATTAAGTTAAGAGGTCTATATTATCCTAATTAGTATTAAATGGTGTTGTGCTTAAATATGTTTAATAAGATCCTTATAATACGCAGTAATTGCTACAAATTTTTTATTGATGAAATTTTGTTCTACTTCAACGAATCCTGATGGACCTGCCGCCATCGTCAACTAAAAATATTTAATTTTAAACATTTAAAAAAATAATTAAATATTGAACTTACCGCATAAGTGTTTGAATTTCTTGGCAAAAACAACGCAATATTCTCAGTAACAATCCTAGAAGTTTCAATTAACTTTGAAAGAGGCACCGGTTGCAAAAATTCCTCCAATTCATACGTAGGTTGCTTTAAATAGGAAGGTCCACCCCAAGGGGGACTTAAAAAAACCACATCTCCCTTTAAACCTGCAGCCAAATCCAAGAAATTTCCAACAATAAACTCAATTTTATTTGAAACTCCATAAATTTCTGCGTTATTTCGAGCTAATTCTATTTTATTAGAATCGATATCAATGGCAATAACTTTATTACAAGTTAATGCGAATTGTATTGCGTTTCCACCGGCACCACAAAAAGCGTCAATTATTATATCACACTTTAATCTTTGCGCTGTATGTCTTGCAATTTGTTCAGGGGTTACTGAATACCAGCTTTCTAAAAAAAAAATATCGGATATTTTAAATGAATTTAATTATTAATTTAAATATTAAACAAAAACCTTCATCTAGTTTAATCCCTTCGTCAAATTTATGAAACAACGAAAATCTCCTTGACCAATATTTCTTCAAATTCGGATTTTCCCGTATTTCCGGTGGAAGATTAATCTTTCTCTTCCTTTTTTTCTTTCTAATAGTAACCGTTTCCGATTTTTCCAAATCTTCCAATGGAAAAGTTTGCATTTTGTTTTGATCTTCGTCGTTATCCGAACTAGTACTTTGTTGGTCATCCGAACTATCCGAAACGCCAAGTTCATCTTTATCATTATCTTCGGGGATTATATTTCCGTCATCGTCAAATCTAATGTGGTTAGGTTTCTTCACGCGATGATTATGATGATTTTGGCGATGTAACTTTAAATGACGATTTTGAAGGCGAATATGTTTCATTTTATATTCCACATGCCCTTTAAGTTTTGATCTTTTATTTAAATCTTCTTTAAATTCTAAGCCCATTAAATTAAAAGCGGATTTTATGTGATCGGAATTGCTTGGTTCTTCCTCTTCTGTTTCTACTTTTTGATTGTCCCTAAATATACATAAAATTATTATTACAAATATTATTTTGATAATATTAAAAAAAAATCGTACTGTTCTTTTAATGCGATCCTTTTTCGTCCTCTTCTTCCAAATGATGTGGGTAAACCAATTGATTTCATAAGATCTTGTTCTTCAACATGATCATCAATTGATTCAATTACAATGTCACTATCACTCATTTTAATACTTAAAGTATGAAATAAACCATCAACACTCGAACATGAATCCTTATTTTTATCTTTATTTTCAACTTTTACCGTTTTTTCAAAATAGGACTTTTTGTTCCCAAATTTATTGTCTTTATCAGGATGATCGCTAATAATCGAAATGAATCGTTTAAATTCTTGCATGTACTCCTCTTCATAATGTCTTTTCCACAAAGCGTCCCATTGTTGTTTATAATCATTTGGATCACCAGGATCTGCTTCTTCAGAACTAGTTGAGCTAAAGGAACTTTGAACGGAACTTACCGATGAGAAACTATCAGAAGTTTTCGAGCTATTATCACTTAATTCAAACGAAGAAACGGTCATACGAGTAACATTTGTCATTGAATCGACCGTTCTTGCGGAGCTGCTTGCGTAAGAACCACATCTTGAACTCAATAATCTTTCAGCTTCAGCATCACATTCAATACTAATTGGAGATAAAGGATTCCAACCTTCAGATACTGAGACTTCTGTTTGTAATTTATCATAAGAATCACTTCCGGATAACGTTCTTACCAACATACAACTAACATGAGTTGAATTATCTTGTGATTTGTAGTCTTTAACTTCAACATTTTCGTCAATACGATCTAAGTGACTCACATATTCTGTGATCGTTTCAATACCGTATTTTTCTAAATCTTTTTTATCAAAGGAAAACTTTGTTTTGGAATGATCTTTACTATTACTAGAGTCGATTAATACTTTATCGTAAACTTTTATATCTTCTCTTGTTGGTAAAAATTCGGGATTTATGTAATCACTATATTTGGCTATCCAAGAATCCCAAATGATCCGCTCACCGTTTAAAGTCCAATATCGATGCCAAGCGGAATCGTAATCGATTGTTTTAATGTTATATTCAGTTAGATCCGCACCGCTATCGCTTGATTGAAGGCCCCTGATTATGTGCGATTTATTATTGGTGGTGGTACTCGAATGAGATTCTCTAAGACTATCGTGTTCATCTGTTGATATGTTGTCTGTATGAGAGGCACTACAATAACAGCTAACTATTTCTGCGTCAATCTAAAATATATCACAATATATGTATATAGTTGAGATGAAATTAGTAAACATAATTTGTTTTGTTCCTCGGTTCTTTTTAATCATGGCATAAAATGGCTAATAATAAATCTACTTAGGTTATTATAGAAGATTTGTTTATGCTTATTATATGTATATAGAAAGAAAACCAATTTTTAACACAAGTAATAATTAAAGTCAATTATAGACTTTTTTTATACTTAATATGGTCTTTTTATAAGTTTGTTGTGTAACTAGTTTCGGCTACTGCCATCATCAGAGACAATAAATAATTCACATATATAATTAAATATAATAATTAACAAATATTTCAATACAATTATAAAGATCATATTGAATTGAAAATTTTTGCAAGTCAAGTAGTTAAATTAAAATATACATTAAGCTCTGCTGTCATTGCCGATCTTAAGCGCAGATAAAGCAGTAGGAGTTTATTAGCCGCATGCCTGAAGTAAAAAAAATTAAGTTTTCAACGACTACATCTTAATAAAGGAACAAAATACTGCCAGAACACCGTGCTAGAACATAACATCACGGAATGAGACAAAGAACACGACATAGATACGTAGGCGATAGAATAGTGAGGGTGTCCAAAACAATTTCTCAAAGTACACCTCATGTAATTAGTACACATGCGTCTAATATATCCAAAACCATAGAGGAATTAGAGAACTTACATGTAGAGTTATAAGATTCTATCGATACGTTTAATAATAACCACAAAATTATAATTTTTGGAGGCTCAAATCTCTCGTAGAGAACGACATAATACCAAATATAACACAAGCTGCTTGCGAAGCTATAGAAAAACGTAAAATTAACATAATTACTACAAATCATATCCTAACGATGGCTCTATGAAAAAATAAGAAATGTTGTAAATATAAAAATAAAGAACTATAAAACTTACAAAAGCTTACCAACAGAAGACTAATGCACTACATATGTGGAGACTATGAATGTTAACAATCAAGGCCTTTAAAAGATATCATTGGAGCAAATTTACCAATGATATGGACTACAATATGAAGCACAAAAGCAAATATGGAAAATGCTCAAAATGAGAAAAATGACAAAACACATGGGAAAATTATTTCCAACAATTATATAGTACTGAAGAAACAACTAAAATAGAAGAATATGAAACAACAGATAAAATAACAATCAGTGAAGAAAAGCTGGAAAAAACTTGATTTTATTCAACCATATCTTCAACTCATCATAAACATCAGAAAATTGGCACAGAAGCATTACAAAACTAATATACAGGGTGTCACACAAAAAACGCCCCAAGCTGTAACTCTGTTATTTACATTCCGATTTTCATGGCCTAGGTATCAAATGAAATGGTTTTATAAATACTATGATTCATGCTACAAATAATTTTTTCCCACGCCATCTTCAATTTTAAGCGATTATTACCTTTTGTTTTTCAAATTGCTGCGTATATTTTTCTTCACGTCATTGGATAGAGATTGTTCTTCTGAATCCATTGATGTACAATACATCCATTTTGAATGTAAGTTTAGCAGAGAAAAGACACCTGTAGATACAGGTTGCACACAAGAATGCCGCAAGCTGTAATTCTGTCATTTACATTCCGATTTTCATGAACGAGGTATCAAATGAAAAGGTTTGCTGAATACTATGATTCATGCTATAATTTCCGAACATTCTCTTAAAGTCACTTGTGGTATACCGTAGTGTGCCATGGGAAAAAATAAAAAAAAGCAACTTATGAGTATCATTTACAACTGCTTCGGGCATTGAAATAACATTTAATGACTGTTATCAGTTTTGCTCATTATTTTTTTCTATGGCACACTAGAGACAATGTTCGGAAAATGTTTTAATTGTTTTTCTCTGTTAAAATTACAATTAATGTTAATCTATTGTACATCAATGGGTTCAGAAAAAAAATCTCTATCTAATAACGTGATGAAAAACATACCGAGCAATTTGAAAATCAAAAGTTGTTAATAACTTGAAATTGAATATGGCGTTGGAAAAAGTTTATTTGTAGCATAAATCATAGTATTCATCAAACCATTTCATTTGATAGCTGGGTCATGAAAATTGGAAGGTAAATGACAGAGTTACAGCTTGCGGCGTTCTTGTGTGGCAACCTATATATACAGGTATCTTTTCTCTGCTAAAATTATATTCAAAATGGATGTATTGTACATCAGTGGATTCAGAAAAACAATCTCTATCCAATGACGTAAAGAAAAATATATAGAGCAATTTGTAAAGCAAAAGTTAATAATCGTTTAAAATTGAAGATGGCCTTGGAAAAAATTTATTGGTAGCATGAATCATAGTATTCATGAAACCATTTCATTTGATACCCCGCTCATGAAAATCGGAATGTAAATGATAGAGTTACAGCTTGGGGCGTTTTTTGTGTGACACCCTGTATAATAGGTATTTTCAAATAGAGACAAAACAGCTGCCCAGAAAACTACAAAGAAATAGTACTTTTAAGAGTAATACTGAAATTATTTACAAGCATTCTCAAAGAGAAATTAGAAGCGCAGACTAAAAATAGAGAAGATCAACAGTCTTTATTTATTATCAAACAGCTAAAGGAAAAGTCAATAGCATTTAACAAACCCTTTCATAAACTTACTTCGTTGATATGACGACCGTCTTCGAAACGTATTCTCCTCGACGAAGTGTTTGTTTATTTTATGGCAATTTCCGTCAAAAAAACGGAAGGTGCCGGATCAGGCAAGTAAGGCCAGCAAGTGAAACCGGTTGAGTATCATATCAGTCTCAATCCAATGGCATGTATCAGTTCTTAGAAAGTAATGTAAACAACATGTAGCAAGTACACCTTTATCCAGGTGCTCAGGTATAATTTGTAGGCTCTGGTAAATACGAAATCCTTTTGCTAAAAATTCAAAAGTATTTTCTGAAAGTCGTGAATATTACATTACATAGATTACATCCTAAGGATCTTAAGGATCTATTGTACCCTGATAGATAACATTATCAAATTTCACCGTGCAGTTCAATGCTCTTAACGAACATCAATACCTTGCTGCTTAACTGCGACCCACCAAATATAGTCGGCATTCAACATCGTCGGCTAGACCTAACAAGTTGAGGTGTGAACTTTAATGCTGCTACGAGCAAGTCCTAAAATATTCCCGGGTTTGACAGTGGCGATGTTAATAAACACCTTAGCATATCTTATTCCAGGAGAACTGGTCCACAGTAGGCGAAGTCTCTGCTGAACCAACTGCTGGTTCTGGCCTCACAAACGCTTTAGCGCTGCCCTCTCGTGCTATCTCATCTGCCACTTCATTTGCCAGCAACCCCAGAATGACCTGGGACCTAGATCAGAGAAACTTATCACAACTCAGCGTGTTTAATGTTCTCTTACAGTCATTAACCAGAGCCGGCAACGTTATCACGGCTTGCAACGCCTAGAGAGCGGCTTGACTGTCTGAGAAAATTCGTACTGTCATGTTCTTCACCCCTCTTTCAAGAAGGATTTTAGCACCCATGTCAATAGCAAATACTTCCGCCTGGAATACAGTACAGTACGTACCCAGGCTGTAAGCTTGCTTAATCCGAGGTGTCTGGCAGTATACTCTTGCTCCGACCCCTTCCGGCGATTTTGATCCATCTCTGAACATGCAAATATCTGCCTGAACCAGAGAATTTTCGTTTTCGATCCAGGGCTGCCGTTCAGGCAGTACAATTTGGTATCGAACATTAATTACTGATAGTGATCCCGCCAAATCTGACGGCATTGATAACACAGTATCAGTGCGCGTAATGTCTTCCGCAGCCCATTGTTAGGACATGTCGAAACAGCTGTGAGCATATTGTTTAAATCTGTAAATGATAGTTCTAGCCACTTTCTCTATATGCAAATAAGATAGACCAAGCAAAACATCGATTACTAGAGTTGACGTTGTATTTATCGCACCAGAGATTGCCAATTAAGCTACTCGTTGAATTCGTGAAAGTTTAGTGATAACTGAAGTCTGTCGGACTTTCCTATACCAGGCTGCTGCTCTGTATGTCATCATAGGTCTAACCACAGTCACATAGTCAGTACAGTTTTTCAGGGGTAAAACCCCAATTCTTTCCACAAAGACTGCGACACGTCCACAAGGATAGTCTAGCTTTGTGCAAAACTCCCTACAAATGTCCATTCCATGACAGGGTTTTGTCTAGGATTACTCTTAGATATTTGACTTCCTCTGAGAAAGGAATTTCTTCATTTTGGATAGTTGGGTGGATTAGTCCATCTAACTTTCGTTTCCAGGTGAAGGGCACAACGATTGTCTTTTGCGGGTTTATCGAGAGATTCTGTTCCTTAGACCAAGCGCAAATGGTAGGGTCACTAGATATTATCGATAAAATAGAAATGGGGCGATAGTTCGAAACAATATATCTACTACCCGACTTAAATATTGGCAGAACAAACGCTCTCTTCCACTCAGAGGGAAAAATTAATTGAAAACGGGAGAAAATAATGAAAAGTGGTTTAGAAAGCTCTGGCGCACATGTTGTTATGAAAATAACCGGCAATCTATCGGAACCAGGTCCTAATTTGCTACCAACAGAAGACCATCTAAAACATCATCAACAGAGAACCAGGGGCAAAAGTTATTAAATATCGTTTGACGTGCTTGTTGTTGATTTTTACTATCAATAAAAACTGAACTAAAACGTTTAGAGAATAATTCCACAATTTGGTGACCCTACAACTGCAGAATCACTATTATATACCATTCTACTCCCTGCATATGACCAAAGATGAGCCAGATGATTAATCAAGTCAGAGGGTACATTAGTTAAATAGGTGTTATAATTTCTCGAGATCAACGTTCTAGAAACTAGAAACACTCGGGTTTAGCTATCTTAAGAAACGTACAGTTAAACCAGAATGTTTCTAGTTCCAGGTCTAGTGATTAGCTCTACTTTTCGTTCAATAAAAATATAGAACAATATAACCCTGAATAAAAACTAAAAGTAGAGCTAACACTAGCACTAGAACTAACAGTAGACCTACAACTAGAAACATTCGGGTTTAGCCCTGCGTCTCTTAAGACGGCTAAACACGAATGATTCTAGGTCTATTATTATTATTGCTGCCTGGCTGAGGTGAGCGGCCCCTCTCGTTACTGCGAGCTATAAAATCTATTGTAACTTTAACCCTCCAAAAGTTTAGGGCAAATGTAGGTGATTGATGAACCTTAGTATTGCCCCAAGGTCTTGTACCTTTATGTCGGTAGGTGTCAAAAGAGCTTTACGGAAAATTTTGTGTCTTAGACGGCCTCTGGCGACGCAATTGCACAGTATATGTTCAGCTGCTTCTGACTCGTCGTTGCAAAGTCGACAAGTTTGATCCTCAGCTTGTCCAATGTGGAAGAGGTAGTATTTTAGGGGCGCATGGCCGGTCTGGTAACCTGATACCGTCCTTAGATCCCCTTTGCTGAGGCATAAAACCTCTTTGGTTTTGCTTTGCGACGGAGTTATCATACTCTTCGCTTGTCTGTGACCTGGAACTGTCCACAATCAGATTGGCCTCTCTGGCCAGCTTGTTCGCCTTCTCATTGCTCTCAATGTTGCTGTGACCTGGAACCCACCATAGGGTAACATCACTGGCCTTAGCGAGTTCTCTCAGGTTGCTGGTATACTCTCTAATCAGTGCGGAGTCACACATATAGGCCTGAATTGCGTTTAAGGCGGCCCGACTGTCTGTGAAAATATTTATGGATGCACCTTTCTGTCCCTTCTGTAGGTTCAAAGAGTAAAGAAACTGTTTTTAGTGATAAGGCACTTGAAGCTGCCTCCTTTTATATATATAAATTGAGTGGTGTGAGACCGAGTAGGGCTTCCAAAGAATCCGTCGGACCAGATCTCATTGTACCCGTTATATTAAGACATGCTAACTGCTGGATTTGTGCCAGCTGTTGTTGTGTTGTCTTATGTTTTGTTTTTGGCCACCAAATCAATGAGGCGTAGACGACCATGGGTGTGATTATTGCTACGTAGGTCCAATGAGCCATTCGTGGTTTGAGACCCCAGTTCCTTCCTAGGAGCTTGCGGAGGATCTAGTTTGCCATGATGGCCTTTTTCCTCACCTTGTCTAAGTGTAAGTTTCAGTTTAGTTGTCTGTCTAGTATTACCCCTACGTATTTAACTTCTGTTTTGAGGTTAATAGTTCTGCTTTCAATGGAGGGTGCTTTTATTTGTAGCTTCCTTCTCCGAGTGAAAGGGGCTATTTCGATTTTATTTGGATTGATGCTGAGCCCATTGCTTCTACACCAAGTACTGGTGAATAGTAGGGCTTTCTGCATTAGTTGAGTTATGATTGTATCATATTTACCTCGGATTGTGATTACCAGGTTACCAGGTCATTGATGAACCTTAGTATTGCCCCAAGGTCTTGTGCCTTTATGTCGGTAGGTGTCAAAAAAGCTTTATCGAAATTTTTGTGTCTTAGACGGCCTCTGGCGACGCAATTGCACAGTATATGTTCAGCTGTTTCTGACTCGTCGTTGCAAAGTTGACAAGTTTGATCCTCAGCTTGTCCAATGTGGAAGAGGTGATATTTTATGGACGCATGGCCGGTCAGGTAACCTGAGAGCGTCCTTAGATCTCCTTTGCTGAGGCATAAAACCTCTTTGGTTTTGCTTTGCGACGGAGTTATCATACTCTTCGCTTGTCTGTGACTTGGAAGTTCTTTCCAGCGTAAGGCTACCTTTGAGACCTCCCAACTATTGATTATTTGTTTTAGGCTGTTTTGTAGTCCATAATTCTAGGTAGGTTCTAGGTCTAGTGTTAGTTCAATGAAAAATATACAATAATTTAACGCTAAATAACAACTAAAACTAGAACTAACATTATACCTAGAACTAGAAATATTCGGGTTTAGCCGTGCGTCTCTTAAGACGGCTAAACCCGAATGTTTCTAGTTCTAGTGTTAGTTCCAATTTTAGTTAATTTAACTTATATGGTTACATTTAGTGTTTATTTAGCCTTTAGTTTACGCACAAAAAGCCAAAGAGTGAAAGTACCGCAAAATAGCAATTTATGGATTATAAAACCACAAATAAGGATTTTAAACTTATTGGTTTTCCTTCATTCGAACTTCAAAGAAATCACACATAAAAAGAATCGAGGAAAAAAAAGATATAAATAGTATAATAGAAAAAAACATTACTTCGTGTTTTGGATCTGTACTGCTTTCTTGGCTTTGGCACTGTTCTGGTTCAATTTCAGTCATGCACCCATCTTTTATGTCATCTTCTGTTAGCACTTCCGTTTCGGAAACGCTGAATTCATCCGTTAAATTGGCGTTTAATTTAATTTTATCGTCACGACTTCTATAATTAAACACAAACATTTGTGATATTGATGGAATTAAAAGAAAAAAAATTAAGAAATCAATGAAAATTATTTATTATTTGCTATAATATAAAATTTTATAATATTTTACACAACAAAACCATTTTTAGTTGTTTTTACACAATGACTTCTTTCTATCAATATTCATTTTGGCAACTTTCATTTCAGTAATTTTATTGCCATAGAAATTAATGAATGTTAGTGTCTCAAAAATGAATTACAATTTTTTAATTACAAATTATATATGATATACATCGCGGCGTTAACGCTTTTTTGTATAACTCATTAATTATTTAAATCTAAAACTAACATATTCATTTTAAAAGAACCGATTTCTTTACCGCCCCTTGATACATAAATTATAATCTATTTATAAATTAATTCAAATGTCAAAACAAGAAATATTAAAGTTTAAAAGTTCGTTTCTTGCTTGGAAATATCCTGTATCTGTAAGATCATAAGGATCAGGTAGAAAAGGTGGAGTTATTGACAACAAATTCTGCCAATCAAATCCAGCAAAAGCATCCATTTTCATAACATCCTCAGCCTTTGGTCTATCATCAGGTTCTGAGGTTAATAAACTTTCAATTGCAGTTACTGTAGGTTCTGAAAGGGCTTCATCATCCGTTGGCCACTCAATATTTCTTTCCAAAATATTTTTAAATACATGTTGGGGATTGATATCATTAAATGGAGGAATTCCTGTTACAAATTCATAAAAACAAACACCCAAAGCCCACCAATCCACAGCTACATTGTGGCCATTTCTTAAAAGTAATTCAGGGGCTAAGTAATCAGGTGTTCCTAAAATTCTTTGGTCAGAACTCCATTGACCCCGCCTCACTGATTTTGGAGTACGATAAGGTGTTCTTGGCGTTTTAGGAGTTACTGGACAACTCGAATTTTGAGTTGGTGGTGGACTAATAATTGAGGAATTCAAATTTTCTTGTTGATTTGATTTGGGGAGTTCGAAACGCGTCGATTTCATTTTTAATTTATTTAATTTTTGTGTGCTTAGAGGTGTACTGAATGTAACTCCTTTTGGAGAACACACTGTATCTAATCGTAACATTTCTATTTCCCCTGTTAACCCAGTTCTAGCATAAACTTTTTGTGTACTACTGGGGGAAGATGGAGATCGTTGTTTTCGTTTTCGATCAATTCTCGATGTTATAGGAGATGTATCATTACCTGTAATGTTCTTACTAGAATTATCTTGAGTACTATTTATACAAGAAAAATAAGTGGTTTCAGTTTGATTTTCCATTGAGCAATGTAACAATTCAACTCCAGAAATGTTTTTACTATCTTTTTGATCTAAGAAACAACCTGGAGTGTGAAAAGAGGATGATGTATTTTGTTGTAATTCTTGTAAAACGGATGATTTTGGTTTTGAACCAGATCCAAAGCTCAAATGTGAAGTTAAACTTAATAATTGTCCTGGAGTTCGAGCGCATAAATTTGGAGTGGAGTTTTCAAAATCAGAGATTTCTAAATCACGATTAATTTGTATTTTTGACAAACCAAAATCGGTTAATTTAACATGTCCTTCTTTTGAGAGTAACATATTATCTGGTTTAATGTCGCGATGAATTATATTATGTTTATGCAAGTATTGCAATGCTAAACACACTTCAGCAACATAAAATGCAGCCATAGTTTCATCAAAAAACCCATACACACTCAATAAAGATTTCAAATCGCCTCCAACCATATATTCCATGACCAAATAAACGGAAGTATCTGTTTGCAATGAATAATAAAGTTGCACACAAAACGGGCTTTTCGTTAAAGCCAAAGCGTTTCTTTCATTTAAAACTTGAGAAACCATGTTTTTATTAATCATTTCAGTTTTTTTCATCACTTTAATCGCATACATAACGTCCGAATTCGTTTTCTTAAAGCCTAAAAACACTTTTCCAAAAGCTCCTCTACTAATTGGTTTTATAATAAAAAAATCGTCGATATCTGGAGGTTTCGTTCCATTATTTTCACTCATCTTCACTTAGGACACAATTTTAAAACGATGTACAAAATATTTAGAAAAAAATACGTTAAAAACTGCATGAAAACGTGATGTTTTTGAAATTTTTAAACAGGTTATGTTTAAACATAACCTAAAACTGTCAAGTTGACAGATAAGACAAAATGACTTACCGTATAAAAACCCTGCTACATAAGCAGTAGATATCGGTGTCCGCGTCTTTATTGCTTAGATAAACTTCTGCGAGGGCATCCCACTGGTAATCGCTCATAATAACCACTCAAAACGGCTTCCTACCACTCATAATTCGAGGAATATCTAGGAAAAAAGGGCGGACACTCGCGGGGATACTATAAAAACATTTGTGCTTGGAATGTTGGTAGCAGACGAATTCATCGATTCTGTTCAAGTTGGTTATTTTTTCTTGAAAAGTATTTAAAATATTTGATTCAGTATCTTTTTAAAAACTTTAATGTTTATATCATAATTATATAAAACTTTCTTATTCATTATATTAAACTTAACTTTAAAGTAGACAAACATTAGGAAATAAATTACAAGCATACAAAAAGTTATTGAAAATTGTGAAATATATGTATTTATTAAATTTATGATAGTTGTGCTATCACGAATATCACACGTATATAAGATAGGGTATAGATATAAGGTGTTATTGTACAAAACTAATGTTCAAAAACTAAGTTTTCCCTAAGGATTTAAACATCTACAAGTATGATAGTAAAAAAAATAGTCTACAAGTATGATAGTAGTATGACAATCATTCTTTAATTTTTTTTCCAGGCGCAAGCACAAAATAAATAAAATTAGATTGATTTTGCATTCTTTATTTGCAAATTACACTTGTTCTTTCTGATTTCCTTCTTCTTCTTCTACTTTAGACTAGGGATGTATCCCTATTTCTTAAGCTTTATGTTTAGACTTTACTCAGCAGAGGAGGAGAACCAGCTCTGTGCCCATCTCTCAATTTTTCCTTTAAGTTTATAAAATGCAACAATCAATGTATAGTAATTTTAATATACGTTGTGTTTTATTATTAAACATAGCCCATCAAAATAAAGATGTGTGCTATAAACATGTATGTAGTCAAAAAAGTAGGTAGTAAGAATGATACAGGCAACTTATAAAGTAATCCAGTTCAAACTAAACTCCTTTCAAATTTTTCTGTAAGAGTGAAGCTTTTGCGTGTGATTGATTTTCACATACGTATTTACAGTTTCATCTACCAGTGCGAAAAATGAATCACCAAAGAAATTTATCGGTAGAAGAGGCAGTACAAGCATCAACTCTGCTGGATGAGGGGTACTCGATGCGTTATGTTGCCAATGTGTGAGGAAGGAATCATACCAGCATAAGTTGTATGATTAGACAGCTTATCGAAACTGGATCTCACATTCGAAGATCAGGGCAAGGACGAAAACGATGTACCAACCAAAGGGATGACCGTTTTCTGCGACTATTCGCTCTTAGAAATCGGACAATCACTAGTAATGTGTTAAAAAACCAGCTATTAGAGGTTCGTAATGTTGCAATATTGTCTCGAACAATCAGAAGACGTTTAAATGAAGCCGAATTAAAGAACAGGAGAGCACACAGTTCAAAGATTGCGTTTTGCCCGAAATCACCAACATTGGTCTGTTAATGATTGGAAAAAGATTTTATTCTCTGACGAAACGAGGGTTAGCTTAAAATCTCCTGATGGACGTGAGTGTGTATGGCGAAGACATGGAGAGAGATTTGCAAGTTGTAACATTGCTCCAAGGGTGCCGTTTGGTGGTGGCTCTGTAATGTTTTGGGGAGCCATTTACTTCGACGCTCGCACAGCGTTGGTCCCTATACCTACGAGGTCTATGAATTATTACATTCATATTATTAGAATTATATATTTCTTCATTATTAGAATTATTACCTGGAAAACATCGTACTGTAACACGTAATGCTATTTGCTTCTTTTTTGGGTCCTAATTTTGTATTCATGCAAGGTAATGCACGTCCTCACGTAGATAGGTTATTGACTTCTTGCATGCTGTTGATATTTAGTTCATGGATTGGCCACCTAATAGTCCCGATCTCAATCCCATAGAACACTTATGGGACTATCTTAAAAAAAAGGTCCGTGGTTGTAGACTCCCACCTGCCAACCATATTATATACAACATATATAAAAAAAAAGAAAGTGGAATGACAAAATTACATTGGCAGTAAAAGAATTTAATCAAAGAACTCAATATTTAGATTTCATTTATTGATTGCGTGGGACTTGGTTTATTGTGTTTGGGTATAGGTATAAGTCAATAAAAAACGTCCTTTATAAAATTACATTATAATTTTATTATTTTATAAGAGTTGGTCATACTAGGCCACAATTTAGTTTGGGTGAGAATACTAATGAAATTATTGATTGGGTGGAAATTGGGTAGAGCACTGTTTGGATTTGGAAATTATTAAGGTTAAGGATTGGATTGACAACCTAATAGGTTGTTGCTTTTAATTTTAAGCCCTTAAAATCACCTGGAGAGGATGAAGTTTTGCCTATCTTTTTGCAAAAAGGCATATAAGACCTACTCCCAGTAATAATATCCCTATATCAGCTCCTCAGAGGTAAGGTATGTTAAGTCACAAGCTAGAAATTGTTAAGGAGAGATTTGAAAGTGGACTTAATGTTTAAACAAATACACATGGTGGAGATAACCCATTTCGCAAAAAATGTGACTTAACACACCTTACCTCTGATTGTTAAGGAGAGAGATTTGAAAGTAGATCAAACTCAACTTCTCACCCAGGTCAGCAGCTATCAATATCTGGGCACAACAACCCACCAGATGGGTAAGCTTACTGAAGAGGTCAGGAACAGAGTGGGCAAGGTTACTATGGTTTATTATGGCAGGGCATATTTTCTTGGATATGTACTCTGCGTTTGATGAAGTACCAAAGCAATAGGCCTGGATAGCACTAGAGAAGAAAAAGACTCCCCCACAACTGATGCAGGCCATCAGGTCTATGTTCCAGCGAGTGGAAGTAGTAGCTTTTATGGATGAAGTGGTGAAACATGCAAGAGAAGAACAAAAACTTCGATAGTCAGTATGGTCAATCCAAGACCGATCATGTGCAGAAGGGAAGGGGCGTGATGTTGAAGAAGGAAAAGAGTCAAGTTATGGTAGTGACGAGGACAGATTGATCGAACACATCGAATGTAATGGTCAACTTCTTACCCAGGTCAGCAGCTATCAATATCTGGGCACAACAATCCATCAGATGGGTAAGCTTACCGAAGAGGTCAGGAACAGGGTGGACAAGGGTACTATGGTATACTATGCCCTGAATCAGTGTGTGTTTGGAAACAATGAAGTAAGCCCGAAATGAAATGGCTTTCGAGGGTTGTAGGAAAGACACGATGGGATGATAGAGTATGGAACAACCATACTTGAAAAGAGCTCAATATGCAACCGGTGGATAGGATGATTGATGATAGACAGCTGTCCTGGTTTGGCCACTTAGCCACATAGAAGCCAGAGCGCAAGGCAGACAGAGACAAATATGCATACCTGGCTTTCTTGGATATGCACTCTGCATGTGATGAGTGTTCCTGCGAGTGGAGGGAGCGGTGAGGCTTAACGGAAAGATCTCTAGCATGATCGTCATGAAAAAAGGTGTTAAACAGGAGGACAGTTTATCCCCATTGCTATTTGTAGCTTTTATGGATGAAGTGGTGAAACATGCAAGAGAAGAACAAAAACTTCGATGGTCGGTATGGTCAATCTAAGACCAATCATGTGCAGAAGGAAAGGGGCGTGATGTTGAAGAAGGTGAAGAGTCAAGTTATGGTAGTGACGAGGAACAGATTAATAACATCAACATCGAATGTAATGGTCAACTTTTCACCCAGGTCAGTAGCTATCAATATCTGGGCACAACAATCCACCAGATAGGTAAGCTTACTGAAGAGGTCAGGAACAGAATGGACAAGGCTACTATGGTTCATTATGCCCTGAGTCGGTGAAGTAAGCCCGAAACGAAATGCCTTTCGAGGGTTGCAGCAAAGATACGACGGGATGATTGAGTATGGAACAGCCATATTTGAGAAGAGCTCAATATGCAATCGGTGGAGAGAACGATTGATGAGAGACAGCTGTCCTGGTTCGGCCTCGTGGCTACATGGAAGCCAGAGCGCAACGCAGACCGACGACCAATGGGAAGAGACAGTGACGCAGATTGAGGCCAGCCAAGGGAAGACTATGCAGCAGCTCAAGATTTTGCTGAGCAGAGGAAAAAGCAGAAGAGAAAGAACAAGTTATGTTTTAAAAAAAACATATGTAATGTACAGAGAAATAAAATAACAGCCAAGAAAATTATTTCATTTCAATTATATTAAATACCCTTTATTATTTATATAAATTATTATACAGATTTCTTCTTAATTGCACATAGATTACTGTGCTAAAAATACCTAAAGAAATAAGTTTGTTGTAATAATTATAAATGGATATAGTAGTATCGAGATCTTTTCAGGCGTCTAATAACTGTTACCACTTCCAAAAACGACTTTGCTACATCTAAATTTGTACTTTTTTCCCCTTTTGTATGATCTAACAAGTAAAAGTTAAAAGTTGGATGCATTCTAGTAATGTTTATGTAACAAGAAAAGATCTTGAAACTACCCAATAATATAATTGTTTGAAAATCAACACAATGATATAAACTTAAAAATTAAGTTTGTTTTCTAGAAAAAAATTTATAAACAAAATTGCTTTAGCATAAAAAAAAATTGGTTTTAAAAGAAACTTTTTTTCTAGGAGTGTTATATAATCAGGACTATTTCTTAAGAAAAAGAATTTGAAAAGAATCATGTTAAGTTTAAAATTGATACTCCTTGTGCTTTGAACATAGCCAAAAGATTTTTTTTTGCAGGAAATTTAAAGCAATAACGTTATAATGAAGATATAGAAACAAAATCTTATTAACTATAACCAATATTATAATAGATTATTATTGTACAAATTGTACAGATCAATTTCTATTTTCTCTTTAATAACTCTATTAAAACTATGAAATTAAACTTGCAAATTCCTAAATATTTATAGAAAAAAATTTTCAATTTCACAAATCAAGCATAGTAACAATGAGATTACTATGAAAATATTAAGCTTAATTTATGAAACTTATTTAAAGAAAAACTTTCACATCACTCAACTTTTTTGCTGATTAAAACATTTTTTGAAGTTTCCGTACATTATTCTGTATTATGATATTGTACCCTATAAATAAAAAAATTAAACCATTATCTTATCTAATTACAAACTATACCTTTGTTTTCCTTTATTTCTTCGGCTAAGCCTCCTTCCATGTTCCCTCGTAGTTAAGGTGAATCGGTCTGTTTGGGCTCGATTTTCTCTTAATTGTTTCGGAGTAACATTCTTAACTTGTTCAACTTTTGCCATAAATTTCGCAATTAAATCCTTACAATCCATATCTTCCTCATCAACCCAGCTATCCTGAGATGGTGGATAACCTTTCCAAGACACCAAAAATTCCTTTTTACCATTTCTTTTATGGTGAACCTCAACAATTTTATCAACTTCATATTCGGCGTTTTCTTCATTTTCATTATCGTCGTTATTCTTGGCGTTTGTTGTGCTCTTTTTCTTGCGACTTTTCTTTTTAGGAGATTTTTTTTTGGTATTTTCGTTGAACTCCTTTATTAATTCCGGACAGTTTAATGAATCTTTAGATTCCCAGGTATCGGAAGAAGCGTCATAACCTTTCCATCTAATTAAATAATGTTTTACACCATTAATTGTTTTCGAATCAACTACAGCTTCAACCTAAATTGAAAATAAAAAGTTTTAAATTATTGTCATGGTAAAAATATATAGTAAGGTTATGTTACGTTGCCAGATGTTAGATTATAATGAATTATTTTTTTATTTTGTAAGCAAGTACCTCATATTGCTCCTCTTCTTCAGTTTCCACTTCTTCTTCCACATTTTTTTTGTTACTTTTCGCGCCCTTTTTAGGCGTTTTACTGGTTTTTCTGCGTTTGGTTTCTCTCTCCCCACTTTCAGATTCACCTTCATCTTGATCGCTTTTTGCCCCGTTTTTTTGATTTTCATCTTCCGTTGTATCTTTGAGTGTTCTCTTTTCACCTTTCGTGGCTTTTTTGGGAGATTTTTCACCTTTCTTGGGCGATTTCGACTTTTTCACCTCCGATTCTACGTCCTCTTCAGTTTCAGCATTTTCCGAACCGTTTTCTGGGTTTTCCTCCGGCTCATTACTGTTGCCATTTTCCGGGTCTGTTTTTCGACTCTTGCGACGCATAATTGTAATAAACTTTTTCAAGGTGGGAAAATTGTAACGCGCTGACTTGGTGGCGAAGATAAGCTTGATGATGCTTTAGTTAGGGACGCCAAAGTGCTTACAACTTTAGAAACATAAATATCCCAAGAAATAAAATAACGGAAATTTTATTTAAAAATAGCACTTCTTTTTATAATAATGAATATTTTATGCTTATGTATCAATAAATATATAAAACAAAGATATTTTATAAATATCAACTAAATTTGTTGTGTTGGTAGACGTCAAATTAATAAGTAAATTCATATTTGAAATACCACAACATAAATTTATTAAAGCACAAAAATAAAATTTACAATTTTACAAAGAGGATGAATGCACAATAAATAATAAAATGTCGCATGTAGATTTCGATATTTTTGATTCATTTTGTAATTGTAACATTTTTGTTACAATTTTGCTGTTTGATTCTTGCGTTTCTTCTCGAAGGCTACGTTCAACATTTAACCGTTTTTCAAGGTCATGAGTATATATTTCATATTCAGATCTAAAATCAAAAAATAATTGTTTTTCATAAAATTGTTGATTTACTTTTGGAATTCTAATGAAGTTATGGTTAATTTAAGCGTAGTTATTGTATCTTGATGAGCTGCAAGATCTTCATGGCTGCTATCTAAACTGCTCTTAAGATCATACATTTTTTCCTGAAAAATATCAAATTTATTATAAACATAGTTTAAGGATTGATGCAAAACCTACTTCTAAACTTTTGTATTTAGAACACGTTGATAAATAATTAGTTAATTTTAATTCTTTACTTTAATTTTTACATTTCATTTCAGTTGCACCAAACTAAAAAAATAATAAATACAGGGTGATTCACAGAGAATCGACACAGAGCAGGGACATGTAGAGGGCAATAAATTAAGATGATTTAACGCAACTTATCTCTATACTAAGTTGTACCTCTGAGGAGTTATAGGCCAAAGTTTCTTCAAAGTTGGGTCTTAAACTTTTAAAACATTGAATATCTTCATAACACATTATGCTAGAAAAACCAAATTTGGCATACGTTATGAGTGTACCGAAGGTATTAATTGGTAGCAAGTTGAGACAAATTGAGGCATACATATATACATATTTATGTTTATCATGGTAGACTCATTAGAATAGAGTTAGAACTCAAAAGAAATTCAAATATATCTTTGTTCGTTGGGACTAATCGTACATTGTACTAGTACGAATAAAGCTGCGTTTCTCGACCTTTTGTTACTCTCGTCCATTATGTATAACTATGTAATAACATCTAGATATAGCTGAGGGAACTATTGCATAAGAATACAATACAACGATTCAACAACGTTGGCAACAATCTGGCAACGTTGCTTTGCTTCGCTTCTCGCAACTAACAACAAGGTGCTCCTTCTAAAACATGGTGTCGCCCCACACAAAGAGTTTTGGCGTGATTAAGATAAAAAACTATAACAAACTTCTGATACATTATCCGTTAATGCAGCCCTGACATAAAATTTTACCGAATCAAAGCTGCTTTGTATTCCTATATTCCCGAGTTCAAGGACAATTAGGTGAACTTAACCTTTCGTTACTCTCCTTTGAATTCTGTGATCTGTTACTCACAGCGGAATACCAGTCCGCACCGTAATTATTAGATCTGAAGTGATGCTATTGAATCAGAAACTTATTTTCAAACAACTAAACGTCTTTTAATGTAATTATGTGTTAAAAATTATATATTTCAGATCTAAAGAATAGAAATTTTGAGTGTGAATGATTGTATATATGTAAATTCCATAACCAATAGATATACAGATTAGATGCTTTATTCTAAAATGAAAATCAATAACTTAGTACAATAATTTATTTACATGTAACTACAAAAATGCGATTATTTGCTCACTACAAATGAATCGACAACATCTTTTATCATTTTGGGCGATTTTTTATACGATTGCAAAAATTACATCTTCCTCTTACATTCGATGATGTTTTCGGTTGTTGTTCCGTTCTTATATCGAGCTTAAGAATTTTTCGTATTCTGAATTTGATCGCTCTTGGTATATTACGTTGTTGCAGACGTTCGCGGAGGGAGTTTTTCACCAACGCAGCTGATAAATTTTGAAGAAATTCTCTTCGACGAAACCGTATTATTTCTGTGTTATTCAATAAATAAATAACTTGCGTATTTATTCCAGCTACATTTAGCAAGGTGTAAAAAATCACAAGCACATAACTTGTCCAATGTATCTACTCCACCTTTTGTGCGATTGTAATCCATTATCATGTCAGGTTTGCCAGTTTCTTCATCAATTTTGTAATCATGATGCAAACTTGATAACAATAGAACATTCTTGTTTCTTTTAGGAATATATGAAACTAAAGTAATGTTTTTCAGGAAACCATACATCGTGGACCCAATTGGTCGTCCTTTAGGGTTTGAAAACTCAACTGGTAATTCACGTTTGTTTTTTCTGACAGTCCCCAAAGAGGTCAATTTGAAATTAGTTCTTAGAGTATTGATTAGAGGTAACGACGTAAACCAATTATCGGCTGTCACATCTCTATTTGAACCTTTTATGCCCGTTTGCACCGTAATACATAAGCATTGCTTAAAGGCTAAGTAATGCTTAAGTAGTGAATTTACGTTGCACCGTCAAGTAACTCGTTCTCAAAATCAATAAGACGTTCTCAAATATAAGTATTTGAAATCCAGTGCTTAAGTTGTTCTCCAGCGCATACGTCAAATAGACATAACCGCACATAACCTATACGTTAAAAAAGTAATAAAATAAAATAATGGATCTGCAAATTTTCGACGACGATTTAGATGTTTTGGAAATAATTGATTTTGGTTTTCCAAAATTAATATACACAAGATCCAATTATTTCCACGAAATGGACGAATATAATTTTTTTAAAAGATTTCGTCTAACAAAACAAAGTTGTTTGTATGTTCTACGACAAATACAAGAAATTATAGAATTTCCGTCTAATAAGTAAGTAGTATACATTATTTTAAATTATACTTTTATAGGCTGAATTTAGATTATTTTAATACTACTTGTTTTGTACAGAAACAACTGTGTGTCTCCAATGAACCAGTTGCTAACAACCCTTAGATTTTACGCTTCTGCTAGCCATTTAACTATTGTAGCTGATTTTACCGGAATGCATACTTCAACAGCTAGTAGAATTATATCGCGGGTATCGCGTGCAATTGCTATGCTGAGACCGCAATACACAAAAATGCCAAGTAATACCGAAGAAATTCTAGCAGTACAAAACCAGTTTTATGGAATAGCTGCATTTCCCAGGATTATAGGTGCCATTGATTGCACGCACATAAAAATTCAGTCTCCTGGTGGCGAAGATGCAGAAGTGTACAGGAACCGAAAAGGCTACTTTTCTTTTAATGTACAAGTTATTGTAAATGCAAATTTGGAAGCCATGGATATTGTGGCAAGGTGGCCAGGATCTGTTCACGATTCAACTATATTTAATAATAGTCGGATTAGAGCACGGTTAGAAAACGGAGATTTCCAAAATGGCATATTATTAGGTATGATATTACTGATACTTAACGTAAAATAGTACATATTACTATTTGATTACAAATGATTAATGATAAGGTTCTTTTAGGCGACAGCTCCCTCTGCGAGAGTATTTTCTAACTCCATTGGCAGAGTGTAGAACAAGACCAGAAGAACTGTATAATGAAGCTCATATAAGAACCCGAAATACAGTGGAACGGTTCTTTGGAAATTGGAAACGTCGATTTCCTGTCCTTGCATATGGCCTACGTTTGAAAATTTCCACTGTGATGGAGGTTATTGTAGCAACGGCAGTTCTACAAAATATTACCAGAACAGTTATGGCCGAAGAAAATATTGCTGTTTTGCCAGATGACATTAATGAATCAGATTTAAATGTTCAAATTGAGGCTGGCCGTGTGGAGATGAATAATATCGGCAATAATGGGATACATTATTTAAGAGATAATTTAATAAATAACTACTTTAATGATTTATAAAACAATTTATTATAAAAATAACTATTTTTCATTACTTAACCTATCTAGTTTTCAACTGACATTAACTTGACAACACGAAAAACCCTAAAAAATTACTAAAATTTATAAAAATAACTAAATTTTATGGCGTTGTTGCCAAATAACCGATACTTAAACGTTACTTAGTTGAGCATTGTATATGTTGTGTCGGTGCAATAGACATAAAATTTAAGTTCTTCTTAACTATAAGAACTGCTTAACTAAGTTATGCTCAACTATGTAAACGGTGCAACCGGGCATTAGTGGTTCGCATAGTCATTCTACTACAGATTGAGAAGAATTATTACATAAATATCGCCCTGTTGGTTGAATGCCTACGTACTCTTCTATGTTGCAAGCAAAGTATGTCTTTGCATCTGCCAAAGCAAATATCTTAATTACATATTTATTTGGCTTGCTTGGAATGTATTGTCTAAAGGGGCATCTTCTCCTAAATCCCTCTAATTTTTCGTCGACTGTTACTTACTCAAATGGAGTATATGCATTTCTGCAATTTTGAACAAAGATTTCAAATATATCTCTAACAGGAGCTAATTTGTCGATTAATTTTCTTTCATTCCGCGTCTCCAAATCGTCAAAACGTAAACTTTGTAACAAAAATTGAAATCTAGTTCGCGTAATAACTAACCGAAATAATTCTATACCTGTTCCGTTCGTGCTCCACTAATCCGCAACGTGTAGTCGATTGGATTTCAACACTCCACCCAAATAAAGGAGTCCAATTAGTCCTTTTATTTCCTATAGTCAGTTTCGTATCCATTTCTCTACTATAGTTTTCTTGGTGTTTTTGAATGTATTTGTTGGTGCAAATCGTAATGATGTTTATCATATATCTATGTTGAAAAAATACTTCCAAATTTCTAAATAATTTTTGGTACCTTTTAGCGAAGCTTTTGGACTCGGCAAATGTTTTATTATACTCTTGGGACACGTTCTTACATTTCGACGTGGACCATGTTTTTGCCATTTTGTAGAATCTTTCCTAATGAAATATGGACCTATTGATGGTTCTTGTTCTGCATCCGATACGTCCTGTTCACTAGAAGAATTTGTCATACCATAACATATTTTTGTGCGGACTATGAGTACGCGTGTGAGTAACGAAAGGTTAAAAAGATGTAAGGTGCCGATAGATAGTTTGTATTCTGATTGTGATATTCTTTGGAATGGCTCAAACTTGTGTCACTAGTAAATAATAACAAGTCCATGTGGATATTGCTGCTAAACTTCGGCGTGTCAAAACCGGAACACCTCGGCTAAGATTCGTAATAACATTATTGTTATGAATAGTTGAAGGAATCAAACCAGACAGTCTTATAGGAACCAACCTAAGCAACGAAATAAAGATGCGAGACTGTACTTGCAATTTGAAACTTGGAACATTCGAACCATGTTGCGAATCTTATTTGATTAAGCATAAAACAGAAATATCTTAAAAACTTAATGCTGTGTTTTAGAATATTGAAAATACAAGCTGAGTTTATAGAACTTAAGTTTTCTTAAAATCTAAATTCTATTTACATTTCATGCCATTGCCATATCAAAAGGTTTGTGTCTTTGCTAAATCACCCTCAATTTAGTCTTCATAAATTCATATACACTTCTTCATGTCACTGACATATTGAGCAGCTTTCTTATTGCTTCATGGGCTGTGAAACCGGCACCTAAACACACGGGCGGATTGAACACTTACCCAAATCATACATTACAGCAAATGCAAGAAAAAGGAAAGTTGAAAACATCTCACCGCCCAACAAAACTCAACTCAATCGCACTGCTTGTCAATTATCAAATGCCTTATCTGCGTTTAAAAACACTATCTATACGACGTTACCTGAAAAGTCTTACAAATTCAGCCCAGACAAACTACTCTTTAACAAATCCAAAAACCAACGATGATATGAACCCGATTAGCATGCAAAATGGGCGATGGGCAAGAGGCGATGAAGACAAGATGTTCACGCAAAGTCTTATAAGATGATATTCGAAAAATATCATTTACTGAAGAACAACATATAGTGGACATTTTGGATCTTTCACCAAATGTGTTTACCGAAGGAAAAGTTTAAAAAGACAGACGTTCTCAGTGTGAATACAAGTTTGAAACCTACAAAAGTCCCTGGCTATAATCTCATTACAGGGCAAATGTTGAAGAAAGTACCTGATAAGGTAATCAAGCTTATTACCTACATTTTTAATGGTATGCTTCGACTCAAATAATTCCCAGTGCAATAGAAAATTACTGAGGTTAAAATGATAGCCAGAACCGATAAACACCAAAGCTAAGCAGTATCTTACCTCCCTACCGGTGCTTGGTAAGGTGTTCCAAAAATTGCTGCTAGTCAAATTCCATTCCTATTTGAAAAATTTAATGCCAAATTATTAATTTGTTTTCAGGAAACACCACGGAACTACTGAACATATGTATAGTCAGAACAGTGAGACAGTGATTCGAAAAAAAAAATTTTTGAAGGGCGGCATTCTTGGATATCTTATAGGCTTTCGATAAAATCTGGCATTATGGCTTATTCACTGGTGGCGTAGGCTGTGTGAAGAGGATTAGGAACTTTGGAACACAAGCTGAGAGGGTGTAGTGAGCTAAGAGAGGAGGCGATGGACAGGAAGCAAATTTTGGGAGAGGGGAGAACTTATTAATTAAATTAAAGATCTTTTCTAAACGATATGAAGACTATAGGGCTGACACTAGCAAATTGGCAGGGTAACATAATCATCCCTATATACAAGAAAGGGGACTCGACACGCTGTGAAAACTACAAGGCAATATGCCTTATTAATGTCATTGTAAAGCTATAATCCAGAATTCTGGAGAGGCGCATAAGGACTTGCATTGAAGAAGAACTGGATGGCGGGTTTCAGTCGAGGACGATAAACACAAGATATAATTTTCTCCCTGCGCTGTACAACTGATAAGTAGATCAGCAGAGAGAAATCTGCATATATGGCTTTCTTGGATATACACTCTGCGTTTGATGAGTACATGTTCCTGCGAGTGGGGGGTTTTGCTTTGAGTGTTCTCTTTTCACCTTTTGTAGCTTTCCTGGGCGATTTCAACTTTTTCACCTCCGATTCACTTTTCAAGGTGGGAATATTGTCACGCGTGCACTTGGTGGCGAAGATAAGCTTAATGATGCTTTAGTTAGAGACGCCAAAGTGCTTACAACTTTAGAAATATAAATACCCCAAGAAATAAAATAACCAAGAAATTTAATTTAAAATTATCACTTTTTATTGATAATAATGAATATTTTATGCATATGTATCAATAAATATATAAAACAAAAATATTTTGTAAATAATAAATAAATTTGCTGTGTGTTGGTAGACGTCAAATTAGCAAGTAAATCCATATTTGAAATACCACAACATAAATTTATTTAAGCACAAAAATAAAATTTACAATTTTACAAAACCGTCGAGAACTATGAGGAAGAATGCACAATAGATAATAAAATGTCGCATGTAGATTTCGATATTTTTGATTCATTTTGTAATTGTAACATTTTCGTTACAATTTTACTGTTTGATTCTTGCGTTTCTTCTCGAAGGCTACGTTCAACATTTAACCGTTTTTCAAGGTCATGAGTATATATTTCATGTTCAGATCTAAAATTAAAAAATAAATTTTGTTTTTCATAAAAATGTTGATTTACTTTTGGAATTCTAATGAAGTTATGGTTAATTTAAGCGTAGTTATTGTGTTTTGAAGAGTTGCAAGATCTTCATGGCTGCTATCTAAACTGCTCTTAAGATCATACATTTTTTCCTGAAAAACATCAAATTTATTATAAACATAGTTTAGGAATTGATGCAAAACTTACTTCTAAACTTTTGCATTTAGAACACGTTGATAAATAATTACTTAATTTTAATTCGTAATCTTTACATTTTATTTCAGTTGCAGCAAACTAAAAAATAATATACATATTTATGTTTATTATGATAGACTCATTTGAATAGAGTTAGAACTCAAAACAAATTCAAATATATCTTTGTTCGTTGGGACTAATCATACATTGTATAGTAGTACGAAAAAAGCTGCGTTTCTCGACCTTTTGTTACTCCCGTCCATTATGCATAACTATGTAATAACATCTAGATATAGCTGTGGGAACTATGGCATAAGAATACAGTAGAACGATCCAACAACGTTACCAGACCAACGATCTGATCTGTGTGAACATACTCAAAATCGGATATACGAAAAACTACGACTTTAGTGTTGGGCAACATCAAATTTTCACCAGATGTGAGGTTTATATCATTTTTGGTGATACGATAACTCCCACACTAGTACTCATTAGTACAACTTAACTACGAAACTGCTGCACAAATTTTTATTTTGAAGCAAACAGTTACAGAAATCAAATGTTTGTCTTTGAAATCTAAGTGCATCACTTCGTGGCTTTCGTAGCTTTCTACAAGGCTGTGAATCAATGATGATAGATGAATTGAAAAACTAAACACCAAAATGTAATGTTTCAAAAGTAATAGGTATCGTTTTATCATGCCATTGCTAATATCCGATGATGAAATTCAGATTGAGATGATGGATTTCATATGATACCTTTCGTAAATGTTCTAAAATGTATACAGAGCTTTTACTGAGGCATCTTTTGGATTCCTATGAATAACTTTTAACCTTACTGTGGAAATTTAATAACATATCGATTCGCTTCGTTCGATTAACTTGATCAAAGAAAAATTTAAATTCTTACATCTCGAATTACTTCGTCGTATCGATTCAATATTTCTCGATAATTAGTAACACTTTCAGTTAATTGTTCCTCTAATTCCGTTTTACTAATTTCCATATCGGAACACTTTTTTTCTTGATTCTTAATGGTGTCATTTTGAGATTTAGTTTTTTGAATAAGATCATTTTTCTCCATCTCAATTTTTGTAATTGTATTGTTTAATTGATCGCAAGTTGTTTCAGCGGTTCGCCTTAACATTTTTTCATTCATTAAACCATGCACGGTTTTTAACAGTTTTTCCGCTAATTTTCTATGAGTATCCTCCAAAGTTCTATACATACTTTGAGTAATTTCCAATTTACTTTTAAGTTTAATGTTATTTTCGTCTGCCAGTTGAAGAGTATTCATTAAATCTTTAATGTGAATTTGAGCATCTCTTAAAAAAAATATATTAAGAAATTAATAAAAGGAAACATTTTTAACTGTAAACATTATTTACGAGAGAGTGTTTTCTAAATGGTGTTCATTTTTTGATTTTTCCTCTAACAATTTGAGTTTATCGGCTAATTCGTTTTTGAGTCTTTCGAATTCGTTGAGGGAAATGTGTAATTTATTGTTTAAAAGTTCTTTTTCTGAGATAATTTCGATCAAATTTTTGTTTACGTTTTTCCTGCACAAACAAATATGTTATAAGAAATATAATTAATTTTACTATAATTCAATTCATTACTCTTGTATGGTTAATTCTTCAATTATCTCTTCTAATTTTTGATTATTTTTTTGTAGATTTTCTATTGTAGTTATTTGAGAAGAAATTTTCTATTCAAAAATTAAACATTATGAATATTTCGTATAAACAATATATTTTTTAATACTTACTTCTTTAAAACAACCGATTTCATCATGATATTCTTGTAGTAATCTTTTAGTACTTTTATAATCTTCTAATAATCCTGGTTGATCAGAGATTTCTCTCACAATTTCTTCATGATCTAAAAAATCATTAATTTAAGTATTAAATAGTATAAATTTAAAAAATATGTTACTCGAGTATAGGATATTGTAATCCTTCTGAAGTTGTCCCAATCGTTCACGTAACGTTCCTAATTCTTCTGTGCATGCCAAGTGCTTATTGGTACACTCCTTTAATTCTTCCGATAAGTTTTTACACTTTTCGGATTCAATTTCAAGCAACTTCTTATATTCCTATTACAAACAAAAAGTTAATAAATAATGATGATGAAAAAGAAAGTAATGAAGTACAGTTTCGTGTTTACGAGAATTATCAAGACATGTTTGCAAATTATGGACGTTGCTTTTTAAATAATCAATTGATGATTTATATTTGTTTATATCTGCAAGTAACTATAAAAAAAAATAATAATATCAATTTCTTTTATACAATAACATTTTTTTTTTACTTTAGAGTTTTCTTCAACTAATTGTTCCATATCGCAAAGTTGCTTTTTGTAAGTGTTTTCAACAGTATTCGTTAACGACTTGGATTTTTCGTCGGAAGATCGAAGTTGTGTATCCAACCAAATGATGGCTTGTTCTTTTTCGATCAAATCTTTCCCTTTTTTGTCAAATTCCTTCTGATAATCACTAACTTGTTGTTGAAGGAGTTCTAATTGATTTTGAGCGTCCATCTTAAATTTTAATAAACAATCTCTTTGTGTTACTAAAGTATTAAAATCTTCTAATAATTCTTTAACAGCAGAACGTTCAATTTTTTGCATTTCTTTTAAAACCTTTAACTAAAAATATCAATTTATTAAAATAAGTAAAATACAGTAAATGTTTTTAGAGGTTTATATTTCCAAAGTAAGCATATTAATTTTATAAATTTTATCTACAGTAAAATGCCGATTATCCGAGGACAATTTAATCTGGGTTCTGATTAACCGTGCTTGTAAAAAAACCCTACCATGGGTCCTAAGCGAAAATAACTCTCATAAGTTGCATAAACTTGAATAAGTTTTAAATCCACACAAATCAAAATCACTTGATTGAAATTAAAAGGAACCTTATATCGGGAGATTATAGTTAGAGAGTCATAGTTAGAAGCAGGGATGATTGGACGAAGGGTGGACCTCAACTAAAAAGAGGAGCATTTGCCTGGTACACCCATGCGTCAAAGACAGTTGGATCCGAAGTGGGCATAAACATTAGTGGATCAAGCCGCATTAAATTGCCCCTCAGCTTGGACATAACCATTTTTCAAGCAGAAGTTCTTGCTATAAACTTCTGCACCGCTTTGAACCTACAAAAGGGACAGAAAGGTGCATCCATAAACATTTTCACAGACAGTCGGGCCGCCATAAATGCAATTCAGGCCTACACGTGTGACTCCGCACTGATCAGAGAGTGTACCAGCAACATGAGAGAACTTGCTAGGGAACTACAAAAAAGCCACCTAAAACAAGTAATCAACTGTTGGGAGGCCTCAAAGGTAGCCTGACGCTGGAAAAAACTTCCAGGTCACAGACAGGCGAAGAGTATGATAACTTCGTCGCAAAACAAAACCAAAGATGCCTCAGCAAAGGGGATCTAAGGACGCACTCAGGTTTCCTGACCGGCCATACAAAATGATTGGCTTAACCCGAAAGTTAGTCTAGTTTTAGTTCCATTAACACCGATCATGAAAGCCTTGGTACTTATAACTGAAAATAATGTATTAAATAACCATGAGCGAACAAGAAATTGAGTGGGAACATCAGTAACATTGCTAAAGAAGCTAGCTAGGATATAGAAATTATTCAAGAATATCTGAAGGAAAATTTGACGAATTGTTGTCAAAAGTTCAGGATTGCATAAGAAAGAAAGATGAAATGATGCAACAATCCGAATCAAAATTAAAGCTGCAAATAAATTTAAGTGATTTAGCTACGGGAGATTCATTTTCAACGCTTGCTTCCCTATATCGAGTTCCTAATCACACCATTTCAAATCTTTTCTAAGAAACATTTTAGAGCTACAGTAACTTAAAGTTAGTGCATTAGATGAATCTATCACTTGATTGATTTGAAACCAACGACGGCCAATATTCTCTATTCATGTTGTTTGAAATCGATGACGATGAATGATATTGAAAAGGTGAATACGCTGGTGATATCCTTCTGAATTTGTCAAGGTTGAAACCCTGTTGATGGAATTGTATGATACTGCCTCAAGACCTGCAATCGCTTTTTTCTTGTTATCGTTTCAATTTTTTCCTGACAGATGCTTGCATCATAAAATGGCATCTGTTTTAGCTGAAAACGATATATTTGCCAAATATGTCGAATTCATTATTGCTTTTATTTTTTTGCACCATTTCATTAAGTTTATCAAATGCAGCGCATATAGTTGAAATATTTTGGTTTCCTGATTTTCTGTTTACGACTAAGAAGCGCACGAAGGCATTTGTTGTTTTTTGATTGGTAGTTTCTGTCTTTTCTGAGTGTATCACGTCTTTCTGTGTATCATCAACTTCAACAATAACAGATGCAGATATTGATGCAGGAAATACATTTTCATCTTGGGTTTTTCTGTATTGTTGATTGTATCGATTTCAGATTTATCATGTTGTTAATTTTAAAAGAGAAATGGAATTTTAAAAATGTACTTCATATTTAAAAGTAAAAATATGTCTATCGTTCTGCATTTCATCAATATGGTTTCTCCAGTATCTTTGTCTTGATCTTGTGAATCTAATAATATCCTACATATCTAGCTCTAGAGTTAGAGTTATTATTATCGACGCAAAATAAGTGTAATTCATATTTTGTGTGATTGGTTATCATATACATATAGCTTACATCTAATTGAATCATCTCAAATCGTTCATATACCTACAAGTATTTGTATGTCAGGCTGGGTGCTTTGGTTTTATCTTTTCGACTGTATAACAGTATGTAGTTATATTTGTATTTCCCTTGCCTTTGTTTTTTAATTCCGATAGTGTGCATAACTCAATTTTGTGCTTATTTAATTCAATAGTGATTGCTGCTCTCTGTTGGTCTACAAAGTTATATTCCAACAATACATTCGTAGTATTTTAGATTTCCAAACTTGTACCTTCCTTTTCCTCGCTGTGTTGTATATCCATATGATCCGTCTTTGTTGCGAGACATGGTTAACAGTTCTTTGAGTAGCTGTAGGATTTACATTAGACGAATTACTGAGTTTATCCACAAACGCTTTTTCTTTATACGGGCTTGGATGAACTCAATCCACGGAGCTTTCTATTTTCCTTTTAATTTTTTGTTAATTTTTTTTAATTTACTGATTCATGTCTTATTACTTCTCTCTTGGATGAATCAGTATATATCTCTAATCTTCCAGTTTTTCGCGTTTTCTTTGTTGCTTTTCTTGTAGAAGCTTTTACTTCTTCTGTTGAATATTAATAGCTAGTAGATTGCATGGATGCAAATTCTAAGTGGCTTTTATCCTTAAGATTTTTAGGTGGTGGTGGTGATGTCAACCAAGGTATTGGTAGTAGACTAGTAGTTTCTTTACTGTTTACAGGAATAAAAGAAGTATGATCTTCTGGACAAACAGGTTATACTGGTGAACGTGTTTTTGCTGAATTATTAGAACTGAAAGGTTGTGGATGTATGCTATAGGACTCTACTGTTGATGGTAAATTAAGAAGGCATAGATCACTGGTAACTTCTGCTACTTCTGGATTTGTCCTGTCTGTTACAAATGTAGATGCAAAGTCAAGTTCTGTAAAAAATTGCGATTGGACGAATTTATTTCCATTTTACGAAATCCAGCTTGAATATTACTTTGCGTAGGGGCTAACGGAGTTTTTCCTGAGTGGTTTCGTATTCTTTCATGAGTTGTTGTATTTACTTCTTAAGTCGAGTCTGAGGCTTTTTGCACACGGAGAAACTCGTCATATATATAACCAACATACAGTGACACTTCTTATACGCCTAAAGATTCGGAAACGAATCGATTTTAACATGTATTTTATTCAGTAGTTACCAATATGTCAAGTGTTGCCTTTTTTTTAAGCCTCTATCATGGAACAACCAAGCCAATATCCATGTATGGTATACCGCTCGTTGTTTACCTGGTTACCTGTCCGGCGAAAAATCTAAGAGGCAAAGCATCTTTTAAAACTTACGTAAGCCGCATATTTCCCGTATGTTTATTAATTAATCATAAAAATTAATTAACCAATGTTTGATTGTATTCATATTTTGTAGCATTNAATAGAATCAGTAATATATCTCTAATCTTCCAGTTTTTTGCGTTTTCTTTGTTGCTTTTCTTGTAGAAGCTTTTACTTCTTCTGTTGAAAATTAATAGCTAGGATGCAAATTCTAAGTGGCTTTTATCCTTAAGATTTTTAGGTGGTGATAGAGGTGTTATAAACTAGTATTTTTGTGGAACAGGTACAATATGTTCCTGTTCCTAAAAAGTAACAGTTCCAATTACCTGTTACAACTGTTCCTCTGTTCCAACCGTTATACAATAGTATATGAGGTATACTATACTTAACCTGTGCCTATATGTAATACTAGTTTGAGTACGTCTAGACTGTTACCGATAAAACCTAGCATTTTCATTCCAACAGAAATAACAGTTTTTTTCAGTTTTCGGTTCAGTTCCAAATAATAAATTTTAAAATTTGTTCGTAATGAATCTATTTCCTATCATAATTTAGACGATTTTATGATTTTATACCTATTTTAGTAATAAGTGTATTATACGAATTTTTACAAAAACAAAAATACCATGAAGGAATAACTAATTTAAGCGGCTACGGTACGAAAAACTTTGGCTATAAGATAACAATGTAAAGACACCCCATGTGTTTAAAAAAAAATAAGATTGATCTGAGCTAACGTACGTGTATCGTGTTTTATTTTTATTAAATCGTTTATGTTTGAAGCGAAATAAAAAGATATTGTTATAACAAAAGTGCAGTTAAATTCAGTTAAAAAAATAAGACAAGTAAAAACCAAGTCCGGTTTGGATGTTTTTCACCGTGATAAATAAACAAAATTCTGAAGCGACGTGCGACAAGTTTGTTTTTTTAAAGATTAAATAAAGTCCTTTTTTAAATTCTTATATTATTATTAAATTAAACTGAAATTATTTGCATAATTAATTATTATTAGTGGATAATAAACTTAACGGTCAGTTTAATAATAAGTAGGTCAGTAAAATAAAGGTACAATTTAAATTTACTATAAATGAGTTACGTTCTAGTATCAGTTTAATTGGTAACAGTTGTTACAAAAAATACATCAAATCTTTGTTGTTCCTACCCATACCGAATAATAAGTAACGTCTGCAGAACTAGTATTTTGTACCTGTTATTTTTTAAATTTAGTAACTGTTCCAAGGAACAACATACAAATACCTATTCCAAAGTAACAGGTACAAGTATCGGTTAACACCTCTAGGTGATGATGTCAACCAAGGTATTGTTAGTAGACTAGTAGTTTCTTTACTGTTTACAGGAATAAAAGAAGTATGATCTTCTGGACAAACAGGTTATACTGGTGAACGTGTTTTTGCTGAATTATTAGAACTGAAAGGTAGTGGATGTATGCTATAGGACTCTACTGTTGATGGTAAATTAAGAAGGCATAGATCACTGGTAACTTCTGCTACTTCTGGATTTGACCTGTCTGTTACAAATGTAGATGCAAAGTCAAGTTCTGTAAAAAATTGCGATTGGACGAATTTATTTCCATTTTACGAAATCCAGCTTGAATATTACTTTGCGTAGGGGCTAACGGAGTTTTTCCTGAGTGGTTTCGTATTCTTTCATGAGTTGTTGTATTTACTTCTTAAGTCGAGTCTGAGGCTTTTTGCACACGGAGAAACTCGTCATATATATAACCAACATACAGTGACACTTCTTATACGCCTAAAGATTCGGAAACGAATCGATTTTAACATGTATTTTATTCAGTAGTTACCAATATGTCAAGTGTTGCCTTTTTTTTAAGCCTCTATCATGGAACAACCAAGCCAATATCCATGTATGGTATACCGCTCGTTGTTTACCTGGTTACCTGTCCTGCGAAAAATCTAAGAGGCAAAGCATCTTTTAAAACTTACGTAAGCCGCATATTTCCCGTATGTTTATTAATTAATCATAAAAATTAATTAACCAATGTTTGATTGTATTCATATTTTGTAGCATTATTAGAACATGTTATAATATATAGAGTGTTCCATTAAAAAAAGCAAAGTTGACCCGTTTTCCGGTAAAACTAAAAGTGATAAACAATTTTTTATGCTAAATTGTTTGGGTTAGACTGTGGGGGGTTTCTTATAACGCGTACTGTATATGCATAAATATATATATATATAGCTGATGAGGTGGCCTTTATTGGAGTGTAATACCCACTCGTACATTACCATATGCTAATGAAAAAACTACTCCTGGCTATAAAATAAGAAACGATCGGATTACTGTCTTAGATTGCTCAAATGCTAGTGGAGAAGATAAACTAAAAATAGCTGCAGTAGGAAATTAAAAGTCTCCTAGAGCTTTAAAAGATATTAAACTAACTAATTGAATACTATAACCATCGTGTTGATTTGATGGCGAAAGGGATTTTTGAAGTCAAAACAGTTTAACGGTGATTATGGTCACATAAGAACAATGGTCTTTTATAGTTTTGAAAATCAATTACGCTTCGTGATGCGGTTTTAACATATCGTATAGCTGGAAATGTGGAGTTACTACAATTAAAAATTTTTTTAACAAAATTTTAGTTATTTCCACGGTTAATCAACACTACTTGCACTTAAAAGTTTTTGTTTAAGAAAGAAATTAAAATTAGTTTTTACCTCTTCATTAACACTACATTCGTTTTCTTTGGCCGATTCTGTTATAAAAAAACTTTTTTTCACTTCCATTTCTAATTTATTAGCAAGATTATCTTTAATAGAGCACATTTCAGTAAGTTCTTCGCACAAAGCAACTTTTTCTTTAACGTTATCTTCTTGAAAATTGTTCAATCGCTTTATTGTCGCTTTTAATTCGGAAATTAATTCATCTTTTTCTGCAATTTCAGTTTGATATCTCTCACCAAGTTGTTTATTAAATTCAGCTATAATCTAAAAGAGATTTCTTTTCAAAATTTCAAAACATGAAATTAAAAATCTTGTAAAATGAATATGTAATTTACAGCTAATCTATCGGCTTCTTTAGTGACTTCACATAAAGAACCTTTCAAACATTCCGTGTTTGAAGCGTTCTGTTCGATTTTATCATAAATACTTCTTAAAAAGTTTTTTTCTGCTAAATGTCTTCTTCTGTCGTTTTGAAGAGCTATAATTAAAAATAGGTTATAAAGATTATTAATGTTTTGAAAAAAGTGTAAAAAATTGATTTTCTAAAACAATAACCCGTTAAAGTAGCTTGTTGAGTTAAAAATTCTTCGTTTAATTTCAGTTTGGATTCGTTTAATTCTTCAATTGATTTCGCTTGAGTGTTAATTTTTTCAGTTAGTTCACTATTTATGGTTTTTAATGATTCAATTTCATTTGAATACATCTTTAATTTTTCTTCTAGTTGATCTTTATAAGAAACAACCTGTAATTTTAAAGAAAAAATAAAATTATATACTGTTAAAATAAAATATTCTTACATAACTTTACTGTTAAAAATTTAATGTTCTTGGAAATCTTTATGATAACTAAATAATAAAAGCTTGAATACGATTTATGAAAACGTTCGCAGGAGTAACACATTACCTGAGTTATGTGACAGGACATATCTAAAAACTGGGGAATTACCAAGAATTTAAGACGTATAACGCATAGTGATTGAGGGAGTCGAAATCTAGATCCTTTTAGCATAAAGGTTGACCCTTACAACCATTTTGCCAATGGTTGTAAATACAACAAGCCTTTATGTTAAAAGAAATTTATTGCAATATACTTTTTACATATCCAAATTCAATGAATTAATTATTATCTTTGTGTTAAATAGAAAGTCTTTATTTTAATCATGTTAAGTGTCACGTTAGAAAGTCAAAGGCTTATTTGTACATCATATTTTTACTATACTTTTGTAGTTTTATTTATAATTTTCTATTATTGCCATAATAATACTACAATTTTCCGGCTAGTATTGATAATAATTATATTATGTAATGAATGTTCCCAACCCAACTCATCTCTTATGGCAGTACTTTCCTAACTGTTTAAATAGGAAACAGATTGCTATTCAGGTTCTCCAGAATATCAGTTGGTTATTCTTTAATTACATATTTGTTGTTGGCACTTGTTGATGTACGCTACAATCTTATTAGCATCCTTGTTCGTGCATATGGAAAGAGAGAGATTTGAGACTTTATTGGTATCACAAAATGCTGTTTTCTGGGAATCCTTTGTCTGAACCAAAAGGATTCGCTGCCCAGATGGTTGGAGAGAGTTTTTTCGTTTAATGAAAACTTATAAAACTTTATTGCTCCAGGTGAAACATGTAAGCGTGTTGTTTGCGATGTTTTAGGAAACAAGTCTCGGAACTGCCCGGCGAAAGCTTTCTGTTGTCCAGATGTCCGCCATAATTGATGTATTAAAATCAATATGTAGTATGATTTCATAATATTGTGTCCGTTAAAAATATCGACGTTTCATTGTAAAATAAAGAAGCCAAAACACCAGCAAAGAGAAAAATAAACGAGCCGTCTGGTTTAATGATAGAAGACTGCTTCACAGAAGAGGTAACGACATTGATTAAATACAAGACAGAGACCTACCTAGAACATTAACATGTAGGCACGAATGGTGCGATTCGGGATCTGAAAGAAACGTACTGGGAGAGGTTCTCAGTGGAGATGGAACACGATGTCAAGAACAACAATATTATCTGAATTTAATGAATATAGAATTGTCGGATCTGGTGTCTGCCGCCAACCATCACAGTTTAGTAATTAATCCGAATAAATCAAAAGTTATGATATTTGGCCGAAAACGTGTCAAGTATGCTTCAGGGTGCGTTTGGTAAACTAAAAGCTCTGTACCCCTCTCGCCATCTTCTCACTGTCAACACTAAGACTCTACTTTGTAATGCGCTGATTTTATCAAAATTTAATTTTGGAGATGTGGTGTATGGGCCGTCTTTACTTAGGGTCGATGAGCAGCGCATACAGAGGGTTCAGAACGCCTGTCTGCGATTTATTTTCGGGATTAGGAAGTATGACAGAATTTCACATAAGTTGACAGAGGTAAAATGGCTTAATATGGTCCGTAGGAGGCAGCTGCATTGTTGTGTGTTTTATTACAACATAATTCAGAGAGAAAAGCCTCAATATTTATGCCAAAAAATTCAATATCGCACTGACATTCATAACTTGAATTTGAGATTCAGGGGGGCTCTATCACCTCCTAACCACAATACGGAGTTATTTAAACGGAGCTTCAGTTATCAGATGGTAAAGATGTACAATGATTTACCCACTGAAACGAAACTGCTTGCAAGCGTCTCCTCATTTAAAAAGCGAGTGTTTGGTTGCTTACTTGATCAACAGACGGCCATCCTAACTATTTAAATGTAAGGCGAAGGTGGCATTCATTAAGTATTAGTTTTCTTTTTTTTTACATTTTTTTTCCATTTCTGTCTGTACTGGCAGAGGTATTTCTTTAATTATTTTCTTTATATATCTAGTTTGTTCGCTTGTTGCTGAACGTTTTGGAATTTTTTGAATATTATTATAATGGAATTTAAAGTTAAGTTGAGCAGTGTCTCGGCACTGAACTTCGCCATTTCGTACTATTATAATTTACTAGTGAATTTAGTATTTTATTTTATTTTATTTTTTTTGTTTTGTATAGAATATTTAATTTGTTAATTTGATGTTGGTACGAATAAAGACATTATTATTATTATTATTATTATTATCTGTACGGAGGGCAGAAGAGGATATGGAATGTATAAAGATATCAACGAAGAGGAAAAAACAATCAACTCCGTAATCCCTGAAGAATGGTTAGCATTTATACGAATCCTACATGGTAGCTAACGGGATAACAAGGAGAACTTACAACGTACATGAAATGGTGAACAAGTTGAAAAACTGAAAAGCACCAGGACTCAATGTCATAACCAACGAAATGCTAAAGTATGGAGGGTTGGATCTGGAAAAGGCCTTGACCGCATGACAGAAAAGGTCGAATGAAGATATAGCGTTACAATATCAGTATTCAAGAACGTAAACAGAAAGGACCCTGACAACTATAGAACAATAACTTTATTAAGCAGGGTAAGGACTATGGAAGAACGCAATATTGATTTGAGGGAACATATTATGCCGATTCTGCAAGGTCACGGGACTAATTACAACTAAATTAAGGTGATTGAACATTTAGATACGACCAACAAGTCACACATAAAGACGAAAGGGGGCTAATTGAGGAGGGACCTATAACACTGTAACAGCAGGGACCCAACAGGGCGACAGTATGACTCCATTCCTATTCTATCTGGTTATGGAACAAAAATCCTTCAAAATAACAGCGAAAGGACTAAACATGGAAATATCCAAGGAGAAGATTGAAGCAATGGTGGCACTGTAGGGCGTTAACATCTCTAGCAGCAGAAATTTGTAACAAGAAGTTAGGGCAGAAGTCAACAAAGGTTCCAGAATATCTGGATGTCTAAGAGACATCATATGGAGGAACTAATACATGTCTGAGGAGAGCAAAGTCTCCATCTATTAAATGGTAGAAAGGCCGGTACTGACTTATGCATCGGAAACTAGGGCGAATACGTCAAAAACCAAGAGCATCTTAGGAGCCACCGAAATTAGAACGTTAATGTCAATTAAGGAGTAACCCAGAGAGATCAGATGACAAGATCAGCAATACGGGAGGAACTTGCTCAGGATTGCTTGATGTGTGATTTGTGCTGGAGAGGTGCAGATGTTGGAAGGACCACGTGGACAGGATAGATGACGAGTTTTGGCAAATGCGTCAACACGGACGACCGTCGAAAATGTGGCACGAATGGTGGACTTCAGCATCCCAAGAGGTCTGATGCAGCAGAAAAAACAAGTTATAGTCTTAAATAAAGAAGAAGAAGCATTTCGGTCAATAGTGTTACTTTCTACGATGCACGAAGGTGGTTACATAGATACAAAAATCCTTTTTTAACTTAAATAATTATTTTATATTACTACTAACCTGGCAATAATGCGATTGCAAAACTTGAATTTTTTCTTGTGAAGTTGCAAGTTCTCGAGCAACTTCCCCCGACCCCGATTGCATTAATATTTGACTTAAACTTTTATTTTGAAACGCCAACGTTTCATTTTCCGCTTTAATAATTTTCAATTCGTTTTCTTTTGCGCTCATGAGATCTTTAATTTGATGCATTCCTTCGATCATAAATATCTTTTCCTGCTTTATTTCTTCGAGTTGCAAACATTTCCCGTTCAATTCACCTTCCAATACCATCCGCTCCTTTTCGAGTTGGTTAACCTTCGTTAAATATTTTTCCTTTTCGTGGATCGCTTCATTTAAAAGATCCGTTTGTTTCATAAGATTTACTATTTCATGTGACGTCGCTTCTAAAGTTTTTTGATATTTCGATGATTCGCTTTTAAAATAATCTCTGTTGATGTACGAAATAGTTTTAGTTTAGAAATATTAATTTAAATAACGCTTACCTTTCGGAAGATATTGTCTCTAATTCTTTTTGTAATTGGAGAATTTTATTAAAAATGTTTTCCAAACATAATTTCGATGTGGCTATTATTCTCAATAAAGGATTCTAAAATAAAATTGAATAGAAGTGTTATTATATTTCGTAACCTAAGCTACATCATAATAATTTTAATAAATAAATCTAATTTCTTAACAATTCCTTTTGTGTCATCCAATCTAATAAATCAATTTCCCTTTCAATTTAATTTATTAAATTGTTATAAAAGAAAACCATAATGGATGCGAATAAGGAACGACTTTTTATGGACCAAACGGTAATTCGTTCCGTAAGTAAGTTATTAGGAAAGATGAAAGGCGAAGTATTTAATGAGGCAGATCAAAAAGATAAATTAGAAATGCCTCTATTTTGTATCAAAATCGCAATGAGATCGATCGCAATCGTCTTATGTGAATGTTTGGATAAAGTTTCGATTCTTCGAATCATTACTCAAGAACAAATCGAACAAGAATGGTTGGAACCGATCGTTTATAAATCGCTAGAAGAAAAATATGGATCGCAAGAGGAAAATTTTGCCGTTCGTGAATTTACTAATAAAAAAAAACTTGCCAGAGACTTAACTTTTATAGCGAAATTATTAAACGATAGCATCGATGATGTTCTTCGCGGGGGCGATGTGACGAAATTAATAACAAGTTTAGATGTTACTTTAAAGGAAATTAAAGAAGCCAACGATCTGCTAGAGGAATATGGACAAAATAAAAAGTTATTAAAAAAATTAGCGTATGACATGAGGAAAAGTGCGTCGAGAAATCGAGAAATTTTAAACAAAAAATGTGACGATGCTTATAAAGTTCATGAATTGTATGAACATACAGTTAGATTAGGAATTGTTCAGTATAAATACGTTGATAAATATGAAAGTAATCGAACTTATTTGGGTGTTTATATAAATGATCGCGCTATAAACCAACACACAGATGTCATAAATGGTAATCAAACGAAACTAGAACTTGAGAATCGAATTAATCATGAAGTCGCTAATTATATCGAAGTTACTATGACCGTAAAATAATTTTTTACATACACCTAGATATCTTTAACTAAGGTTATATGAAAATTTCAGGATATGCAACAACAAATGGAATATTGGAGTACAAGATTTGATGAAGATGTTGATCGATTGGAAAAGGCCAAGTTTGAATTATCTGTCGCAAAGGAAAAGTTGGAAGTTGATTTTGCTAGTACAACAAATACTTACGCAGAAAGACAAAAGGATATTGCGGAATGGGTGGAATTCAGGGATAAGTTACGAGCAGAAGAAGAATTGGAGAAAAAAATGAATTGGGCTGCTGTTAAAATTCAAGCGTGGTGGAGAGGAGTTATGGTAAGGAAACATTTAGGACCTTTCAAAAAAGGAAAGAAAGGGAAAGATAAAGGCAAAAAGGGTAAAGGTGGCAAAAAGAAATAATCGTTTGTATAAACAGAATTTAAACGAAAAATAAATCGAATTAAATGATTGGTTTTGTAGAATTTTAATTTTTTAATTTATACATAATTTGTATACTTTCTAATTCCAATGATATAGCCTGATTTATTTGAGCAACAGGTAATGTTATTAGCAGTGTTTTCGTGTTATTTTGTTGATTCGTATTTTAATTTTCAAGTGTGTAGTAATAGCTAACAGAAATATTTTCAAATATCATGTGTGGACATAAATGGACTACCTATGCGGGCTTATTGATAGAAAGGACGTTGCCAGACATCGCACACTTTCGCCAATTCCAAGCAGATAACATCAAAAGTCAATCCACTACACTACTATCAATAAAACAGCAAAAAGGATAGAGTGACAGAATTACTGGTCCACAAGAGACGAGCCAAACAAGTTTATAGCAAAATAGCAGAAGTAGCAGCGATCTCTAAGCAGAGAGATAACAGTGGTCTATACATAGAACTATGACGTGCTGGCTATCGTATTTGATTGGCCTTTTATGTCAGTGTAGGAAATTTTGTATCTCAAAAAATTGGGATATGTTTTCAATATTCATGATATAAGCCATAGAAACTCCATCTCCTATACATATAGAGGAGTATTAGAGAATACCAGAACAATGAATTTCTTATGAGATTTTTATAAAACTTATTTATCTTATCACATGCCTTTATCATTTAACAGTTTATCAATTAAGATCAATTTTCTGTTTAAATTCATGGGAAGAAATTATTCCTGAGAAATTACAATTCATAATTAGGTCGCATTGAAATGAGATGAAAACATCAGCCCAAAAATATCATGGCATATATGAAAGCATGTGACAAAGACTTGAATCTAAATTCATTTTAAAAAGTGAACATTTCGAATAAATTTTGCTATTTTAGAAATGGTTTTTGAACTTTTATCAATAACCTAAAACTTAAAAATAATTACTTTACTGCAAAATTCGTACTTGCCTTTTGATGTTTAGAATTTACATAAAATTCTTTTAACGAAGGAATTTCTTGTTTAATGTGTTCCATATCGTTTAAAAGCTCATCTCCGAATTTAATAGCATCATTTATTATTTCATCTTTAGAATCCAATTCTTGTTTTATGTTAGCTATTTCTAATTGATGATCTAATTTTATTGCTTGTATGTTAGCTAAAAAGTATTCTTTACACGTTTCTCATTAAAATCTTATAAAAAATATACCTTTTTCTGTTTGTAATTCGGTAAAATAAACCGAAAATTGTTCTTCTAAAGTTCCACATCGACTTCTTTCGTTCAATAAATTATTTTCCAATTCGTGTAATTGTTCAGTTACGTTACTCAATTTGTTTCTTAGCCGTTCATTAGTTTGATGTAATTGATCATCTTTAAATATTTGGGACAACAAAATTAATCAATATTATTAAAAATACTTACTTTCAAAAGGATTTATATTTTTATCGCACCGATTAAAATCCATTCTCCTCATTAACAACTCATTTTCTTCTTGTAATTTACGATTCTGCCAAACCATTTCTTTTAAATTTTCCGTTAAGACTTTTTCCTGACTTTTATAAAGGTCGCTTTGCTGTTTCCACATCATCGAAGCCAAAGCTTGATTACGTCTTTCAATTTGAATTTGCAATCTTGCATGATTTGATACAATATCAACTAAAATTTTTTTATTAATTAATTTATCATAATGTGATAAAGAACTTAATGAATGTGTGCAAGCCAGAGAGTTCATAGATGATTCATAGATGTTGGACATCTTCAAATTGAGCATACGAATTGCTTACAAAGGCAAAGTCGAGATAAAAACCCTAAGAAGTATACAAGGCAGAACTCTATACCACAGAATACATACAGAACATAGGAAGGAATTCGAGCATAAACATAAAAAAGAATGGAAGACATTGATTGGCAATGAACAGGCAAAATAGCCTACCAATATGGATACCCATATTAGAAAGAAGAAGAAGAGGAGAGTCAATAAGAGGCTAAGACCTACAAGTGTACACCCTTTGCTTCTAATACCACTTCTAAGACTATTTACTTTAACTTTACTCTTAACGATCCTTTTTGTAACCACACTCATTTTCTTTTTTTATTCCAGCTTACTCTATTACTGACAGTTACAGTATCTGACAAGAGATAGATCGTGCAGAAGCAGAGTATGATCGAAAAGAATTGAAAAAAGTTTAGAACAAGCGTTTAATGCATTAAATAGGAGTTGAACAAATTAGCGAAATAACTTGTTTATAGAAAAAAATTTTTGATTAAATATGTTTATATGTAGGTGTACGAAAAATAAGTAAAATTATATTACCTAATTGTTTCTGTAAATTATTATCCTTAAGATATTTTCCAAAAATTTGAATTAAACGATTTTCACTTTCTTGTAATCGATTGTTAAATTGCAGGACTTCTTTTAATACCATAATAAGTGGAATTTCTTGAGATAAGCTTTAAAAGAATTTTATGTTATTAGATTTCGACACGTTAAAAACCTCTTAACATAGCCATAATTTACCATATTGAAGGACATTCGTTAATTCCACAACATTTTTCATAATTAATAAGATTTTCTTTTGATTTCTGGCAAAATTCATGAATATTTTCAGTTTGGTTTGTTAAAGATTTTCTAATTTTATCAAACATATTCTCTTTTCTGGATTTTTGTTTCTTGTTTAAAATAAAAATGATTAGTGTGTTAAAAACGTTAGTTCTTAAAAATCTTACAATATCTTTTTCCGATTTATCACCACAACATTTGTGTTCGATATTTGACGCGATTTCGTTTTTGATTGAAGAAATATTGGTCGATGAAGCGTCCGATGCGTTATTATTGGAAAATAAACAAGTTAAAGAGGGCGGTTGAACTTCAGTTACACAACTGTCATTGCTTTTTCTTTTACCTCGACCGAATAAATTTGAGATAATGTTTCGTTTGTTGAGTTTATTTTTTAAACTATTTGAAGCTTGAGTTTCTACTATGTCTACTAACTAAAAAATAATTAGAAATTCTTTTTTAACACAGTAAAAATTGTTCTGACAAGGCCATCATATGGGCGGTTATTAGAAAATCAAATAACTCCACAAATGACAAGAGTCGCAGAAGAAAATCTAGGGGAATTACAAATAGATGTTGTCTCGCAGAAGGATGGAACGCTATTACATTATGCTGCTATTGTAAGTATGTATCTTAATACCAACGTTAATTAGTGATGGATAGACCAGCTCAATTTCCAGATCCAACACCCAGGTATTCTTTTGTGGGGATATTTAAAAAGTTCTTAAAGTCTGCCAAAACAAGAATCCTAACATACTACATCGTATGAACAAAGAGAGGATGAGGAGAGGGAAATTCAAAGAGTTCTTCCAGCAACAACTGGAGGCCATACTAAGAAACCATAATCGGAAACGATTGAAGAAGAACGGGACGTGATAGAGGGACCTATCACGAAAGTAGCAAACGAATGCATCGCTACAAGAACGAATTGCAGAAATGTGGAATGGTACGATGAAAAGTTAAAGAGTGCAGTAAGAGAGAAGAATGAAGCGTGGACGAGGTTGATACAGAGAAACACAAGGGTGAGCGGAGAAGAGTATAGTGTTAAACGGAGAGTGGCAACAAGAATAAGCAAATTTAAGAAATCTATATTATAATAGAATTAGAGATAGAATTATGATAGATGAAATTATGATAGAAAGCGCTGGAAAGGTGATGTATGGCAGGACCTGAAGAAGATAAGGGATGTGAAGCGTGAGGGGGAGGATGGAGACAGATTGAAGAGGATAAAGGACAAAAACAGGAAGATCGCATAATGGAGAAAACTTTGCATAGGCGGTATTGCTAGTCCGTTTGTGTTTGTGCTTGCTTAAAGGGTTAGCCTGTTGTGAGTACTAATTGCGAATGGTTCTAATACACTGGAACATCTGTACTTGCATTAGGATTAATACTGATGGATTTTTGACAGAAAATGAGCTGGAAAAATCTTAAGAATGGGATGATAATATATCTGATTTAAGTGCACCTTATACTGAAAAAGACGACTGCTGGGAGAGTAACTCAGATACGGAAGAAGATAATGTTCAACTAGTATGATGACGAAGAAAATGTTCTCTAAACATCTAATCCATTACTGCTTCTACAAGTTCCACAATTATTCAATCCTCTGTCCCCAGTATGAATGCTTTGGCATGTAATTTCCGGTTTGTGTGTTCAAATGAATTTTCAACCAGAAACCTGAAATAAAATTCAGGTCAACCAGGAACTGAATTTTATAGAATTACAAGGTGGAAAGAAGTTGTACTAGATGAATTTGGCATTTTTTAGGATTGCTTTTACTATGGGCCGGGAGCAACTTTTGATTATTTTATGTTACCTGCAGTTCCAGGAAGATCCAAAATCTACTGACCACAAGCTCAGGAAAGACTATTCAAAATAAAACCTCTATTCAATTATTTTAATAAAAAATGGAGAATTTGTTTCTCGATGACTTAATGTTGCTCTGGAGATGGCTCGAGAAATACATAAACAATAAAAAGTATAAATATGGCATAAAATTGTATATGCTCATGTAATCTGAAGATAGTGCCATAAAATTGGTGATGTATACCGACGTGTTGGACGATTTCGAAGAAACGAGACATGCAGCAAATGTAGTGTTATATTTGATGGAGGAGAAACTGGATGTTGGATATAGTTTGTTCATAGATAACTATTATAAAAGTTATAAATTGACACTACAGCTTCTAAATAGGGATATGCCATATACGAAAACAATAAGATTTGATCGAAAGAATCTACCATTATATTCTGATACCGTTATGGTATTACAGTGGTGTCATAACAAACAGATCTCCTATATTTCTATACAGTTCGGCAATGACATCTTTCAGGATTACATTAGAAGAGGGCAGTTGCACAAAAATCCAGAAGCTATAGTAATGTAGGTACAACAAATACATGGATGGAGTTGATCGCGAAGACCAGTTGATGGCCTATTAACCGATTTACAGAAAACATATTAAATGGTATTAAAAACTAGGAATACATATAGTGCAACTGGTATTACTGAACTAATTTTTGTACTTTAAAGAATAGTGTTTCCATCCACGAATATTTTGATAATTTCTTCTTTGATTTTGTTTTAATTGAAAATGTTTAGTTCTGTTGTTTCATAATAGAAGTTTATTTGCAACATGCTTTGTGAATCGAACAAGTCCGTCAGCAGTAGTGAAGAAAAGTTACTGCACCTATATGTGCATGACGGACATATTCATCAATAGCCTTTTGGAGTTATAAAAAAGGTTTTTGACGTTAATGAATAGTAGCAATATGCACGGTTTAAGTATGTCTTATACTATGGGTAATGTATTCTAGGGTAAAATTAATTTCTATTATTACCTGTACTTTTGAGTTGGTTTTTTTTGATGATTTGCTGCTTGATAAGGGCATTTTGAAAAATTATCACATTCAATTTTCATTTAAAAAAAATTGTGCGTTTTCTCGAAAATTAACAATACACAAAATTGTAAAAGTCTAGATTTTTTGATTTATATTTGGCATTGACATAGTTATTAATCATTAAAATTTCCTTAATAAGATTTAAAAAAAAATCTTAAAATATATTTACGTTATTTAATTTATTAATAATTATTTGGATATATAGGTTTCCTTTTTCTATAATGATGATATAATAAACAATGCTTATCTCACCTTTAATAAGTCATTAATCATCCAACAATACACGCCGAAGCATTAGTATAAGACAGTTTTCTTATTTCCATTGAATATGGATCTTTAAAAAACATTTATTTATATTTTGTCTGCAATTGACTAATCGAAATTATCACAAGATTTTAAGAAAAATAAAACTATAATCAATTCATTACATAAAATCAATAGAGTAGTTAACTAATTTGAAAACAAATACCAAAGTAAGCAAAATTTATTGTCTACAAATCTTAACATGCACATACATTAATTTATTGCGAATATCGAGGAAACGATAATCAAATCAATGGAACAAGCAATAATATTCTGAATGAAATCACCATTTTTTCTTCTCCATACAATGAGAGATGATTTCATCGAAAAATGTTTAGAATACAACAAGTTTCTAGTTCTCGTCTTTGTAAACCATGAGAAACCTCAAAAAGACGTAGAAAGAATTGTGCGGCAGGGTGATGTCATCTCACCCAAACTATTCACCAATCTATTAGAGAATATGTTCAAAAGAGCGAATATTGAGAACGTCGGTATGAAAATTAAATAAAAAATTAATCCCCCGGACAACTTAATAAACCGTTCGTTTTATAAATAAAGAATATATTTATTTTGTTTTATATTTTAACTATTACCACAAGGTACAAAAATAAATAAATTTAGAGCGATCGATGAACTCGCATTTCTTTTACAAGTTTCTCAAAGTTTGGTTGTATATTTTTCGACAGTTTAACTCGTAATTCGGCATCCAAATTAATTAATCTGTTTCTTGATTTACTTTTTACTTAATGTAACAACAAAAAATATTGTTCACAAAGATATGTGGTTGGAAAAAGGTATTAAAATTTGCAAAGCATTGTTTTCTAAATTCGGCGATTCATTGAAAACGTAAGCCCAGAAATCAGATAGGTTTCTGAATGCTTCTCAATTGTACCACTCTGCAGATGAAGATACTTGCTTTATTTTCGCCTTCAAACCTGTTATTCTTCCGGACATAGCTTTGGCACCGTCTGTGCTTGCACCAACACATTTCGTCCAATCAATTTTATTTTTATTGAAACCCGTTAATTTTCCAAAAATTTCTTCTGGTCTTCGAGAACAGCATCTTCATGCTTGTATCTCACACAGCACAGTAAAACTGTTTGACTAGTTACGTCCGATGTTTCATCCAATTACAAACCCAGGAGATACACGAACTCTTTGTGTTATTGATCTTTTATGTTTTCTGCCATACTTTGAATTCTTCTTTGCACTGTATTGTTTGACAACGGAATTTGTGTAATTTCTTTGACAGCTTTATCGCCAATTATTGCAGACACCATAATGTTTGCTGCTGGTAATATGAGATCTTCAGTAATAGTATGAGGTTTACCTTTTTGAGTCACTGTACGTAAGCCACCTAACTAGAAAGTGTGATAATAGGTGGACAAGGAAAATAACCGAATGGAAACCTCATAGGCGAGATTACGCCTTTCTGACAGAGTTAGAGCACCCACTTGTTGGTCGAATGATCTGAAGCGCATATGTACACACTGGATAAATATAGCGCAGGATAGAGGAAAGTGGAAATATTTTTGGGAGAGTTATGTCTAGCAGTGGACAAACATATGGCTATAGACTTTTGTTAAGCAGTAAAAGGTAGTAAAAGTTAATGTAGAAATAGAAAGTTTTGAACTAAGTTATGCGTCTGAAGACGCACGTCTAAACCATTTTTCTAGTTCTAGGTCTAGTGTTAGTTCTAATTTTCATTGTTATTCAGCGTCTCTCAAGATGGCTAAAAATGCCGCCTTGAGAGACGCATTACTACACCCAAATGTTTTTAGTTCTAGGTCTAGTGTTGGTTCTACTGAATGTGTAAAGTTAATACTAGTGTTAGTCGTTATTCAGCGCCCAGTTGTATTTTTTTAACACTTCGAAGTTGATTCTGAGCACTACAACCTTCTTGTAGTGCTAGTGTTAGTTCTAGTTTTAGTTCAATATGTGTAAATAATATCTATTTCACTCCCTATTGAAAGCATTTGGAAAGCCAGAAAAAATCCCACATATCTGAGTTTATGGTGCATATTTGTTAAGTTATATTGCTTTAATACAAAAAGTTAATAATAAAATTCGGATAATACATTTTAAATTTAGTAACTTCTAACTAACTCCATCTGTTGCCCGGCGATCGTTTCTATTAGCAATTGCGGATTTACAGTTCTCTGCGTGTGACTGTGTAAATGCCTGTACTGGAAGGATAATAAATAAGTTAGCATTTGAAAGGGAAGATGTAAATTGTGTTGCCTAAAGCTAAATTAAAACAACGATGACGTGGCAATATGAGGATGGATGATAGTTTGGTCTATAATGTTGATACACAAATAAAGTCGCTTTCATTTTCGCTATCTTTGAAATCAATTTCGAAAATTCAACGAGATGACGTGAATGGAGACTTAATTGATGCATTTTTCTTTATCTTTCCATTATTATAATATAACATGTAGCACTTGTGTTTTATTATTATTATAAAAACATATTAATTCAATTTAAAATAGTTAGGTATGTACGTGCATATTTTGCATACTTACAAAGGGGTAAAAATTAAAAGTTTGAAATTTTATTTCATGAACTTACAACGACTAATACGTCAAATTAAAGATTAAGGATCATATTTAAAGAGGACCCATAATTACTTATAGAGTAATGTTAAAAAGAAAAGATTAGAAACATTTTATCAAGTACTAGTCATTTATTTTACAATATCTACATGATGATACAGGTATATCCAAGTATAAACTAAACGAACTAGTCCTTAATATTCTATATTATAGGTTTTATCTTGATTTTTTTTAATTGGTGAAAAGTCCAGACTGGTTTGTTAGTAAACTTAGTAGTTGCAGCACCCCACCAAATAATTGTTTTTTTTTCATTTTAATTTTATATAATCACCTTTTATTGGACGTTACGAGTCATATTTCATTAATTTCAAAATTTACATGAAATCAAAATCCCCTCATCACTTCTTCTGTAAAAACACTCTTTACACCCCGATTTTCGCGGATAATAATAGAAATGAGCTTGAGCAAGTTTGTACAGAGTATTATGTATTAATAAAGCGTTAGCAAAGTGCGTAATTGCAGAAATAGTATTTGTTACGGACATGTTTAGTATTCGTTAAACATATTTATTTACAAAAAATTAATAAAATTCTATTGTTGCAATTCGACTTTTGGTTAATTCTCACTGGAAACTTATTAAAGAAAGAAAAAGTAAGTTAAATGCTTGAGGGAGTTATTTTTCCATTTATAAAAAGATAAATTGGATGATTCAATTGATAATTATTTAAAATATTATTCTTAAATGACACTCATACTTTTATAAGCGAATAAACTGTTGTAAATAACTTTCCACTGATGAAATAATGCAGTTAGTAGGCAATGAAATAAGTACATTTATACAATAATTATGATATAACGATTTTTCTGTTGCATTTTTGTAATAAGTTTTATAATTTCTACGTTTTTATACGTCAATAATCTAAAAAGTAAACAACCTTACCGTTTACGTACGAAAAACTTTTGTTAATATACTATACAAATTTTTTATTAAAGATATAAACTCCTTTATTTTAATTATTAATCGTATCGCCTTCCGGTTAAAAACTATTATACAAAACGACGTGTTATATTATTATTTATAATAATAAATTACTGAGAAGGTTTTCCAATCGTTTTTTATATTCTTACTAAAATTAGTAACGTTGACGGGACTTAAATAGTTCTTAGATATGTATAAAAATATCTTTGGTATGCACGGTATTTATTTTTATTATTTAGTTATTATTTTTTGGCATTATTTTTTTAAAGATTTTTTTTATCGTTTTTGGTAAGAAGCTATGTTGGCCGTTTGCTGTTGTTGTTGCTGTTACTCTATTAAACGTCGAAGAAACGCCGAGAAAACTTTTCATTTTATAAAAGATCATCGTAGTCTTGCTGTTGTTGTTGTTCCTGTAATTTGGCTTCGTTTTGTTTTCGTTTCATTGCCGCGTAAATTGATGCTGCTTTGTAGTTGATGGGTCCGTAAGAACGATAGTCGACGTCGGCGTAATCCAGATCGCTGAATTCGGGTCTATACGGCTACAAAAAAAATATCAAATATGAATATAACACCAATAGGAGTTAAACAAGTAATATTTTACGCTGTGTTATTTTGCGCAGGTAGAGCAAAACATTAATTCATATTGATACAGCATAAATTTGTTGTTGAATTTGAAAGAGTGAAGCCGTGTATAATAACCGTAATTATTGTGTGAATATAAATAATGTTATTTCTAGATTTTGCGTTCTGAATAATATTTCATCAGTGTGTACTGTAAAATACTTAGGATGCATATTGAGTATTAAAGCTCATTATACTAAAATACTGTAAATATTACGAAATGTGAGCTAATTGTAGGTATTCTGTGTACACAAATGTTCAGTAGATATCGAAACTTTTCAAACCCTCATCAGCGAATTTTTTAGCATATAATGAGGAAGCGCTGTATTAATATCAAAAGTTAGTCAAAGTTTATTAATTAAACTTGTGTAATTTATTAATTACACAATAAAATTACTGTAATGAGTTTTGGGAATAGTACAATGGATGGCGGATCAAACAGCAGACATTTTGAGCTGTTGTCTGCTTCTAACATAGCAATTAATACAGCATCTACGATGCGGTGCTTGTACTTATGTGGGCTTACTTCAAAAAGTATTAATGGCATGTCAAAGAAGAAAGAAGCCAACCCAGAATCATGGAAAAATACGGTTGTTTGAAGCAATTTTGTCATACAAGCTTCTAATTAGAAGGTGGCAAACAAGACCTGGAGAAGATAAAAGGACTATAGCCGAGACAAAAGAACTAATTCAAAAGAAATCAGAAGGAGATAAGTTTTTAGTAGATTGGCAGCTACTTTTGGAAGAACTAATGACGGCTAGAAGATTTGACCCAGTCTCTAACCTGATAAGCTAGCTAAGAATTACTGGAGTTGACCAAAGTTTAATTTACAGATTGAAATTTATATTGGAAGCAATATCCAATAGACATAAAACTTCAATGCATGGTTCTGAAATTATTTCACTAAAATTATTCAGAAGGAGAGTGCAGTATACAGCCGGTACTCTGAGTTCTTAGGTTGATTTTTGTAGGAAAAAGAAAATGGAGAAGCAGACATAAATTGACACTGATAATTAGAAACGAAAATAATAAAAGGGAAAACAGCGTATAGGAAGAGCCAAAGAAAAGCAATAACATGGTCACTAAGGCGTTCCAGAGCATGGTCGATGTCATCGGTGATATCCGAGGAAAGTGTGTAAGGGGTGGATAAGGGAAGGCTAGAGAGAGAGAAGTTGACTTTGCTGTGACCAGAAAGGAGAAGGTTGGAAGAATTCTTAAGAATTCTTAAGAAATGAGTGAAATGGCTTACAGGAATCATCTCAGACAATATTGGATTCATTCGTAGGAATAATAATCATTCGTTAGAAAGGATATGGACGAAAAGATGGTAGTGAAGAACAGTGGAGTTAAGAGAACATGCGAGGATTAAACAGTATGTAGAGAGATATTAACAGAGATAGAAAGGAAGAAGGACGAAATGTGTAGGAGAATAGATGATTTGGAAAGACTAATAACAAATCAGACGAAGAAACACAGAAAAAAGAAAATTAAGGAGAAGATTATTGGGAAAATCATAAGGGTCCCAACGGTTATTTAGGGAGTATCGTGAGATTTGGAAGACAATAAAATTAAGACGCAAAGAGTAGAGGAGAATTGATATGCTATACGATATAAGATAGGAAGAAAAGATAAATATAATGTAATGTGATCGAAAAGAAGGAGGAGTTCAAGCAGAATATAGGAATTGAGTTGGAAGCCTTTTCATAGGGTTGGGATCATATGGGGAGGAATAAAGAGAGGAATATTTAATAGTAAGGTTTAATACAAGATCTAAAGGTAAAATACAAAGCAAACAAGGTAGGGATTTGTTATAATGAATGGAAGAGAAAGGATATAGAACGGAAATATAATGAAAATATATGGGACATGGTAAAAAGGTTTAATAAGATATATTTAATAGTTTGATTGGTTTAATAATAAGGATATTAACTTTATAAACAATGGTGACGAGAGAATGTGTGTTTAGAAGTATACAAAACGGAGTGTCGGAGGTGCATTACAGGCAAACCAGGAAGAAATATAAGGATATATGAATAGAGCAAAGAAAATGACAAGAAAGGAAATCCGTATCATAAAGAATGAAAATGGATTTTGAATGCTATGCATTGAAGAAGGAAGCAAAAAGATAGATGAGGTGCAGAACAAAAAGTGAAGTGTCAGATAGTGTCACGTTTAATACCGAGAAGCCAGGAACAAATATAAGAACATATATCTGTACCTTAGAGGTAAAGGATTGTTTAGGATCTCCATTATTTTAGGTTTTCTAGAAAACAAGGTTTTAAGTTTTATAATACTATTGTAATAAGTTTTATAGTAATTAATTCGATATTGACAAAAACTAGAGTTACGATCCTTTACCCCTATACAGATCAGAGGGGAGGTAAAGAAAGGAAAGGGAGGAGACAAAAATTTATACGGTAAATATTACTGATGCTGAATGAATGCTATGTTGGAGGATCAATACAGGAAAGCCAATAAGAAATATAACGATATATAGAGCAAAGAGGGAGTAGTGGGAGGAGAAAAGTTGCAAGATATTTATGAGATATTAAAAAAAAAATTATGGATACAATGTGACCGGTTGGTAATAAATGGGCGAGGTTACAAATAAATTCCTAGAAGTTTTGAAGTAGATTTTGAAGTGGGAATCATTCCATTTACAGTATCGGGTCAAAATTCTATGCCCTATTCACAAAAAAATATGAAAACACTCTTCGCAAAGTTATAATGGAATAAATATGCTGAATATAGTATATATAATATATACTTAAATTGTGGAAAAAGGTGGAAATTGGAAGTAGATTTCTCGGTAGTACAATCACATTTTCGAAGAGGAAAACAAAAAGAAACTGTGGATACAGTTAAGGTGAAGGAATATGCGAACATTTAATAAATATGATGAAAGAAATATATTCAGAGATAATTTCAAGCTGAGGTAACAAAGTATTTTGAAGTGAGGCAGAAATGTACATACAACCCGAGACACTTTGGGAAGTATTATTGAAAATCTAGAAGAAAGAATGAGGAGTGAGGAGCATTGGGAAGAAGTGGTGAGAATGGAAAAGTTGATGGAAAATTCTGATGATGGAAATTATGAAACTTTTCAAGTACTGAAGATAGAAAAGTGAAAGGGTTAAAGGATTCCCGTACTGAGTTTTATTTTCTGAACTGATAATGGGTTCAAGTTAGTGAAGGATATTCAGTAAACAAGTTGGAGGCGGCTTTGGGGACTAATGTAGGAGACTTCACAATACATGGTAGGAGAAGAATTGGAGAAAATGGGAGTACAAGCGGTGAGGAGAACAGTATGTATAAAGAAGCTTTGGAACAAAGGAGTTATTATCAGATTTTAGGGGTGTCGAGTGGAGATTACAGTTCGGGTAGGAAGGTATAGTCAGTGGAAGAGAATCAAAGATTATGCAGTGGGGTACCTAACAGAAGATGTACCAAGAAAGGTAAGGAAAGATAAGATGTGGACGAAGTTGGAGAGGAGTAAATACAAAGTTATAATGACGGAGAAAATCTGCGGGTTTCTAATGTAGCAAGGAGCAGGAGAGAAGGAATGATGATTGCGCGTTTTAGGTATTTGAATAAAGAGAGGATAAGAAAATATTGGGCAAGGAACGAAGATAGAATATATAGATTGTTCTAAACAATCCCGCATGTGCGGAACAATTAGCTGTGTGTGATATGTCACGAGCTAACAGAAATTCTGATGGAATTGATCAGAGAAATGTGGATAGATTATAAATAGCTGGAGAATTTTGGTTGAAAGTGGAAACGTATAAATTTAAAAAGTACAAACTGAGGTAACTAATATTCAATGAGTTATTTGCTGGATCATTTCGGGGTGCAAAGTAGTTTTTAGGAGATTTTTAGGTTACAGACGGAATTGATGTTGACATATTTTACAGTACAATGTTCATGAATAGATATTTATTCCTTCTAAAATGATTGTCGCCTTAAATTATAACTTGACAATAATTGTATATAGTTGCAGAAAATACAATTATGGGTCAACAAATGGTTCCTTCAAAGATAAGTGCTCTTTCAAGCAAAACCTATCAGTAAACTCAGCAAAGTATTGATTTAAATTACATACTTTTTGCATCACTCTAATTTGGTATACATTGAATATGGCGACTCATGAAAATAATTTGAACGTTATGCTCAACTCAATTTTGTTTTTAAATTCCCAAAGATGTAAAACACAAACTAATTAAATCTTTGCTTATTCTGGTGGAAATATCTGCTTGGATGGCAAGTTTATTAGCATTACTAATTGTAAGGAGTTTTTGTAATGCAACCTAATCCAATTTGGTACTTTACGCAAACAACAACCTTATTGGCCATTGACCATAGACTTAGAATTTTTAGCATTGTCAGCATCAATACTTATAGATGTATATTGAAAGCAATGGAACATCACCATTATGATACATATAATAGTAAATCATTGGCAATCTCTATGAAAATTGAGTCAAAACCTTGTAAAGTCTGAAGGAAAAGCAACCGAGTATGCCAAGCTTTCAGAGACTGAATGTCAATATGCCTTAAGACTTGTATAGTATAGAAGATTAAAATATTTGTTTCAAATTTTATGTTGAATGTGACACTACACCAAAAGCTATTGAAAAACCACCGTTGAAAAATTCCGAGTGCAACCACGTTTTCTCAAAATGAGTACGAAAAGACCTAAATGGTACGATAGCGCTTGCCTAAGCCACAGTGGCAGCACCGTCAGTTATCCACAGTGCTCCAAATGTACTGCCATTTTTCGCCACAAAATCGCTTGGGAATCAAACGGTTAATATAGTTTGGAAGTATATCACTATAGTTCGGATCTCGATGTGATGCATCTATGTAGTAATCTTTACTTGTCAGCAAACTTCTCGTGCCTTTCGTGTTTATTTTGGGTATAGCCTAACATGTCGGAATACGTGTAGGTATTAATAATACATTACATTATTTTCCCACCCTAAATTATTTCTGTATGTCCATTTATATGAACCTTTATTCATTCATCATTACTAATAAAAATAAAATTAATGAGATTTTTCCAAACATCCACAAGCCTTTTTAACTTGGTTATTATTTGAAATTTGAGCACAAATTTTATATGATGTGCCTTTTAGAGTTAGGTAGAGTGTGGACAGTTTTACATCCAAGGGTCGGATGGGAACCCTTTTTGTCGCTGCCCAGCTTCGTGAACCGAACTTTAGTTACCAGGGTCGACGGCTTAACGTCCCTTCCGACGGATAGGTGTGCGGTTCAACATGAAAAATTCACCGGGGTTCAAACCCAGTACTTCTGCATGTTAACTTAAGAGTTAATACGCTTTGCCATTTCGCCCTCAAAATTTGACACATAAATCGTTTCTAAATTCCTGAAATTAAATTGTCAACGACTTGTTTTAAGTTAAATTCATGGTTTTCAACAACAAATCCAAGGTGTTTTATTAAATTTTTTTTCGTAAAATAATCCGTTAATAAAAAGTGATCCTTGGGATCAGTAAGGATTAGGATAAAATAGAGTTACGGTGTTCGTAACTTGCATTAGGGGAGCGGTATAAAAAGCGTGTTGCGCAATAAGCATTAACGATATTTGTTAGCAGTGCAAATGTGGCTCTAACTTACAATTACATCCTTAATTAATTATCTTTATTTACCTTATTATACTTAATAAATATATGTATCGCTAGTGGCCGTTGTTGACCTGCCGTTAGTCTAGAACAAACATTGAAAACAAATACGACTGTAATCATTAATAATAATTGTAAATTAGAGTGTTTTGCACCACATTTCTTCGTTTTAATTATTAAAAAAAGTTACTAACCTTATCGAAATCGAGTAGATAAAGGAAAATACATTTTTTATGGGTATTAGTAGTAAAGCAAACGTTAAACGTCAATTTCTTGGCCGATATCGTTGAATTTCAACGTTGCGTATTCAGTCTTTGATGATTTGGTATTTTTTTGATGTTTTCCGAGCGATGATAACTCTGGATTATATTGTTTATTAACATTGCCCGTTTTTGGCATATCCAAATCCGCGTAAACAACTCCATTCGTGTTGGTTCTTCCCAAAACTGGTTGAGGATATTGAAGTTGCACAGAATTTTGCATATTCTCTTGGAATTGAACGTTTTCTTGGTAGTCGTTTGGTGGCCTCCTAACCACCAACGGGCCTTTACTAGACTTGTGTTTATCTTTTTTGTGATTTCTTTCACTATGATACGAAGGTGTCATGGCATCTCCCGCACCATAGCCATTTCTCATCAAATTTTCTTCGTGAATATTTTTTATGGGCTGAAAATAACTTTCGGCCGTTTGAAATTTGAAACTATGGCACTTTTGTAAGGGTATTTGAAAGTGCTTCTTCGGCTTGCTCTTCGACGAAAACGATTTACTCTTGCTAATATTCTGCTGCTGGTGATCTTGGAATAGAGATCGCGGCAACAACTTCATGTGGTGTTTTTGAGGATTTGGTATCGTCGAGTATTGTTGAAAATTTGGGGATTTACTAACGTGCTTATAATGAGGGGTGGTTAATGTGTAAAAGGCGTTCTGTAAAATCATTATTAGTGGTTATTAAGATTTAGTATTTTTAGATACTTAGTGTTAGGGTTTAGTATGAAACAAAATCTCGAAACATCAAATTTTTTTAAATAGCAAATTTCGAGATTATAATTTCAATTTGATACTAAGCCTAATTCACTAAATTCATGATTTAAGTATCTAATTCAAAAATAAAAAAAATACATTTATGAAAAGCAACAAACCTTTGTGTTTATTGGATTAGTCTTCATGCTTAGCGTTGATGTGTTCAGCAAGGGCATTTTAGGAACAGACACTGAAGGATTAACGATTAAAGGGCTATGACTTTTTATTATGCAAGTGTTACTTTTTACGGCCTTTGGTGAATTTAAATTTTCCTTAGAAAAAGATACATCTAGACTAGTCTCACTTTTGATTGACTTGTTTAAAAGATTTTGGCCATTTTGACTTGGAGAGTTTTTTAATTTTGCTTGTAATTGTAGGTATAAAGCTCCTTTTGGACTTTCAGTCTTTGGTTTAATAAAATTTGGGCTAACTTTCACCGTTGGGGTAACTTTAATACTCGCAATTGATGAATTGGCATTTACCATTTGTAACACTGGGCTATCAACGATTTTGCAAATCTTCGTTTCTTGTTTGGCATCTTCAATTTCTTTTCGAGAACTTCTTGGAGTTTCGTGTACAATTGCTTTAGTGGTGGTAGATTCGTTTTGAACCACACCTTTTTCGGAGTCTTTTTTTTCTGATTCCGAATTAGAAGAATCGTTAAGATGATTTTTGGCGACGTTTGCATAAATGATTTCCATTTTACCGCCATGCTTTTTACATCTTGGTGCTGGAAGAGGTGTTGTGTTTCTATCATTTGGGGAATGCTCGAGTATTTGTATACTATCTGTTAAGTTTTGAAATCCATCATCAGACTCGCTTTTGGTCGATTTTAAACTAGAAATTGAAGTTTTGCTGGTTGTTTTTTGTCGTTTCACTAAAGCATAAATAACCGGCCTTTTCCTTCCATGCTTTTTACAACGCATCGAATAAAATGTTGGTGAATAACATCGGTGATGTTTACGTAATTCTAACGAACCAAATTTTTGCTGCTTCGACTTTTTTGTTTCTTTAGTTTGTTTGGTTTCTTTGGGTTCTGTAGTGGTTTCTTTGTTTTCTTTAGTTTCATTTTTGGGATAAGTATTTATACCAGAAGCGGTTCTCCTAATATCTAATTTGTGTTCATTTCTACCGGAAACTCTGCCAGATGCGGAATTATTGAGATGCTGTTGCGATAAAAAATTTCTTGAGTTTGTTATATTCGGATTTGTTCGTATTGAAGTAAACTTTATGTTACTCAAATCTTGCTGGGAATATTTTTGGATGGCAGCAGCAAGGGAAATGGAAGCATTTGCCAAATCATTTTCTGTGCTATTGTTGGCATTCTTAAATCCATGAAAAGATTGATTCCTTGTAACAATCGGTCGATTTTGTATGTTCAAATTTAAGGTATTTTGGTTATTTGCGAAGGATGGAGAAGTTGGGAAACGAGTGGGACGTTGTTTGGTAGCGTTTATATGAATGGTGGGTGTTATTATTGATATTGGCTGCAAAATACATGCAAAAAAAGAAACAAAACAAAAATAAATAACACATTGTACATAAAAAATAAAAAATACGTACTTTATTTGGTGGATTTTGCATACCATGGAAGGGTAAGTTTTCATAAAAGAGTTTGTCGGGGTCATTTAGGGGGTCGGCAATACCTCCACCCTGTGGAGTACCCCCTAAGCCTCCCTTATCTCCCATAGAGGACTGGTTCGGTACTAAAAAAACACAATCTTTTTAGTTAAGACATATTTAAATTTAATTTTTCTAGATACCTTTACTATTCAACAACTAAACGTTATCTTTGTTACTTAGGATTAAGTACCAACCCTTAAATGTACTCGTCGTTGAATCAGTAAAGATACCGACCCCGAGCCGCCGTAAAACCGAGCATACATTACCTCTTTGCGCCTCTGCAGTAAACACACGCAGGCACTTAAACAGTATAAATAGTGGACGTAAAGAGGTAATAGCGACCTAACTTGGCAATGGTACTTCGCGTGGCTCAAAAAGGCGGTGGCGAGAGAGCGAGAAAGAGTCAGATGGCGAAAACGAGCGAAAAAGAAAGAAAGGGACAACAAAACTAACGGCCCCACATAAATCCAATTCGAGCCGCCGCGCCGTAAACGTAGAATGAAAAACAAATAAATCGGAGAGGAGCGTGTCTTGGTACTTACGGGATCCCGGTTTCTTCCTTTTTCTGGACGTCGGTGGCGGATTCGCCGGTGGTTCCGGTTTTACCGCATTAACCGGGGAAGCGTTAAACTTTCTAAATGTAACTACATGCAGGAAAGTAACATAAAAAATATAAAAAAAAACAATTCAAGATCGAGATATTTCTTATCACATTACACGACCATTTCATTTTTTCCTTCTAAGCATCTAAAATGTAGTCGTGTTCAGTGACCGTGGAATATCGTCGATGTTGTTACCTATATTCGAATCCCTTCTGATTCCCAAAGGAAGCGAGTCCTGGTCTTTGAGACACAGCAAATCCCTCAGCCGTTCTAATCTACAGTATATCTTGCTCTTGCCTTTTTTGTACCTGAAGCCACGATCCCGAACGGACGTACACTTGAACTGGTTCAAACCGGAAGAAAACGTCGCAATATTCACCCCGCTTCCGCTCAATTTCGGTCCTTGATGGATCAGCATCCCCGGCTTCAGCGGCCATTTCGTCTGTCCCGAAGCGTTACTCTGTCCGTCCGGCCTGTTTCAGTTTTGTATAATGTGCTATTGATTTTTTTTACATTTTCCTGACGATTTCAATTTTCGGAATTTTGGATTTTTTTTAAAAAAGGTTGAAAGAGATCGTGTGCAACATGCCTTAATAACTTAATAATTATAATAATGATAGACATTAAAGAATACAACGATAAACAAGAAGACATAAAAAGAGAGATGGCATGCAACGATTTTATTTTAAAAGTACCTGAATTCCCTAAGTACGTCATTCTACCACAAGGAACCAGAGGGAGCCCCAGTACGTCAGGGCTTTGCGTGCATAAAAACCTAAGAATCGTGTTGATCTGTTAGTAAACAAGGTTCTACATAAATTATTATTTGACATCACATATATCTTAGATATAAGTTTAAATTTGATCTGGTTAACATTATTCTTTTATTAAATCTCTTTAAAAAATGGTAACAAAAATACAAAATTTAACAAATAAGTTTTCGTTTAAGGTTCTAATCTTACAATGACGATAGCTGCTCTTCTTTGGATTCTACTCGTCTGAGATACAATGTCACACATACTCTGTCTATAACATAAGATACCAGAAGAGATTACACTCTTGCTCTAAATTCCTCCATAAAAAGTGTTTGTCAGATCAGTATTAAACTTATTTTTTGTTTACATGGCACTTTAAATCTGGGAAAAATCCCCTTTGTTGGGCGGTCAGCTGTATGCGCCTCGTATTTTCTTTTAATAATAAAGGTGCCTACATAAAATGGTGGTTGAATGTGGGTACAACAACCGAGTAGAATGAAATCCTTTCCATTCAAGAAACGACATAAATTTTTAAAACTTTTCTACGTAAACAATATATTAAAATTTTTAAATTTACATTATACAAAGTTGATCACTCAAACCGCTATGTGCGTTTTATTTATTTATTTTCTTAAACAATTGCAATAAAAATCTAATAAAGGGATAATGTGCAATAGTGTTCTGTGATATGTAAGAAGAGAAAAAAAAATTGCAAAATAACCCAAAATAATAATAATTAAGGGGATAAGTGCAAAAAGTAACTAAAAGTAACTAAAACGAAACGATGCTGGGCGCAACACGTACTTACTGGCAATGAGAAGTTACATAGTTTAGATCCGCAACCAAAAAGAACCTTACCTTGTGTGCTATAAAGTGTAAAGCAAGAAGGGGTGAGAGAACGCGTCAAACTCATAACGCGAAAAATGCAAATAAAACACAATACGTATCGAAAAAGAGAAAGAAATATGTCAGGAAAAGAAAGAGAGTTAGCTGTAATATCACAGTTTTATTGCACAAGTTAGTGTAGCTACACGGTGATTTTAATCAACGTCACCCTACAAAAGAAAAATTAAAAGAAAGGGTCGCGTGATGCAAAACTGAAAAAACGTAGGCGTTCAAAGGAAAGGGCAGATGATACGTGTAAATGTAGGGCGTACGATTTGGTGATGGTGTGATGACCTTTTCAGCTTGTGTTAGAAATTACTTTTCATTCATCATCGTTAAAATTGACACTAGTAATAACACAAACTGTAAAGAGTAATAAAGAAATTGGAGTCTCTTTTTGTTTTCTATTTTTTTATCAAAACACATAAAAAAACTTACTTTTCACGTTCCTCCACTTCAACTGGATTATTGTCTGTTGGCGTTAGAGGAAAACAAACCAAACGTTAAGTTTGGAAAAGCAAAGCAAAACTTAATCTTAAAACTACTTACATTTATTGCTGGCACGTTTTCTTCTGCATACGAGAATTATGATGATGCAAATTATGATAAGACAAATGATAATTCCGACCGCTACAGCTATTAGAATGATTAAGTTTTCGTTCGCGAATTGTTTCCACCAGGATGCAGTGCCTAGAAAACACAAGAATATCAATATCAAATTAACACTCGCACTGTTGTTTTAAATATAAAAAAGGTTATGTTGATGAAGACGAAACAAAAAATAAATAACCAATAGAAAAGCTTGAGTAGCTGAAACATCGCCATTAAAGGTATGCTTTAAAAAATGCTGATAAAATAGTGATAACATTAAAACGTTGGACGTCCCTCTCGTTACCTTGATTTTCCATTTGACTACTTTGTACTTGGTAAGCTACGCAAAAATATTCCTAAAAGCTTTTCTATTCACTTTTTATAATCAATCAATTTACATTTTTATCTCTGCCCAAAAGTAAAATAAGTAACTTTGCGCCAATTAAGGAAGACGGACTATACAGGGTGATTCAAAAAACCGCTGACAGACTTTTAGGGCAGGCAAGATGAAAAGTCTTAAAATACATGGGGCTTGCAAATGCCACCTTAACGAGATATAGCGGGTCAAAATTTCATTAAAATTAAACATTATCTGCAATATTTCCATTTTTTTTTAATATTTTCAACGCCACTGCCAATTTTGTCAAACGGGCAGTATGCAGTTGATTAAAGCAACAGTTTTTGGATTGGATTAACAAATTTTCTACAAACGTGTTTTTCTTAAAAACTATTGCGTTGATCAAAGTTTTGTAAGAGACCAATTGATAGATAATTGATCACTTGACACGAAAATACTGCTCGTTTTACAAAATTAGCAATGGCGTAGACAATATTTTTAACAAAGGGCTTTTTATTGCAGATAATGTTTAATTTTAATGAAATTTTGACTATTTTTATGTATACTAAAATTATTCATCTTAATTTTTCATGTTTTATCTACTCTAGAAGTCTGTCAGGGGTTTTTTTGAATCACTAATTTTGAATTAAAAAATACTTAAAAAATAGTATCCAGTGTTAAGCATTGAATTGAAAATATTGTGAATATTTGTGAAAAATATCAAACAAAAACGAAAATATAAGGGTTCCTTCTACTAGGGTAGGTCAAAAGAAACTCAAACGATATCTATTGATTTATTTGATTAACTTAAGTGTGTACAATATTGCTTACAAAATACTTAACGCTTATAAAATTTGTATTAGTAGTATAGTTTTGGTACAATCTATGAAAATCGTATGCTTATATGTCGAAGGTCACATGTCTGTGTAATTTTATTGAAATTGTATAGGCATTATATCAAGGTACTATGACAGTGATAAAACTGTCGTCTTAGTAATCGACATTGCAAAAGAAATTATTTTGCCATTACCAAATAATTAAGAAAAAACGACAATTTTCACTTTGAAAGATAAGGAGTCGACAATGAAAGTTAGAAATGGATTAGACATAATTAGATTCTTGGCCATCCAACAGTGTATGTCAAAAACGGCAAGATGTGTGGCAAGATAAGTTTGTGAAAATTGAACCCAACAATTGTGCTGACAAATTTGAATGATATAATGATTTTGGAAAGTATGACGTATGTTTGACATAATAAATATGAACATCCATGTACACTTAGCTATCCAACAGTGCACAGTACGTTTAAATTAACAGGAGAGATTTGAGAATATTCCAATCTTAGAAATGAGCTTAGTGTTCAAAGATGCCTAATTTTGAAATTGATGCCTAACTTGAAAATTGATCTATATCAACGACGACTTAAGCAACATATGGAAAATAATTCAAAATTCACAACGGAACCGCTGACACTGCGCCGTGGAGAAAAAATTAAAAACTAATACAATTAACACGGTGAAAGAAGCACTCGGGAAAAAGCTCTTGAAAAATCAAACTATCGAAAGAATGAGAAGTGGTGGTTTAAACTTGAAGTAAAATAATTGGCGCAAAAAAAAAGAAAAAAGCACATCTACGGTATAAATCAAGTAAAACACCTTGAGACTATGTAAACTATGTCGAAACCAGGAATGAAGTGAATAATAGAATAATACAAATAAAGATGGAACATTGGGAGAAATTTAGCAAAGATATGGAGAATAAGAGAATATTGTATGGATCACAGAAGAGAATATGGAAGATGATGAGAGCATAAAAAAGAGAAGTTAAGGAAATTAGACAATGAGATAGAATTTCGTTGAAAAAGTGGATGTACCAAAACCGGGCATAAAGATAAAGCAGAGCAAAACAATAAATAGGGAATGCAAGTACTGACGACCAGTAGTGTACTGGAAGAAATGAGAAATGTAATACTCCTCACTGTAATACTTATTATTCAGAGGTTCAGAATGACTATACCACAGCACAAGAGATGCGCAACCAATACAATGAATTATCGTGAAGTTACTCTTCAAAATAGCTAGTTCAAGATCATCGTCTGACTCGTCAGTCAACATATCACTAATAAAATACAAATAAATGAAAAGCAACAAAATTTTTAGGAAAACTGCTCTACCGTTGATTCCATTTTCATTGCCAGACAGTAACAAATCTGCCTTCCTCTTTTTGTTGGTCTATCCAAAGTACGGATGGCAAATGTGATAAAACAATCTCAATACATCAACTCAATATCATTGTGACAATAGTACACTTGTAATGCAACAATAATTATTACTAATATACAAACATCGGAAAAAGTGAATGTGCAGACAGGCATTCAATAAGGTGTCAGACTTGCCATAATGATGCTTAATCTACGCATGGTTAGAATAATAGACAAAGTATGTAAAGTAAAGTATGGTAACACTATGAGTAAACAAAAAATCAAGATTGTATGCTATGCAGATGATGTCGTTTTACCGCTTGATACTGGAGATGGCCTACAAAGGTATTTAACTTTACAGCTGCAAAATTAAATACGAACATTTTTTTAAGTAAGACCATTAAGACAGCAAAAGAACCTCGTAGATACAAAATAGTAATTAACAACAAGATCATCGAACAAGTATCGGAAATTAATTTTCTAAGAACTACTATTTCAACAATTATTTTCGAGGTGACAGATGAATTATTATAGGGTACTGAGCTTTAACATTCAACAAAAAATACAATCAACTCCTAAAAATGAAACGGCGTGTGGCGCTCTATTGTCGTTCTCGAGCAATTACTGCTTAATATTGAGAATATAACGACTCGGCGATATACATACCAATATGTTCCGAGTGCATTACGTGCACAGAGAAATCGATAATAAAAGGTAAAGTCGGTTTTGATATGGAAACGTCGAATGTTATTTGACGCCATTCAGAAAAAGAAAAACGCAAAATTTCAAAACTAACAACGAAAGTTACTTACGCCGAGAAGTGAAACGGTAACACATTGACTACTGGGAGGTGTCGTGGACTAACGGATTATGTATTGGCGCAATTATCCACGAAAGGACCAAAACTAGGATATTCTTCCAGTTTAAAGCAAATAGATGGAAAAGGATAACATATAGCGAGAGAAAGTTTATTAGTATTGCGATATTCTGCCCAATCGTATTTTAAAGTATAATTGAGATGCAGTAAAAGATTACAAAGATAACCGCTACTCATGAACTATACCGTATCATGCAAATATTCCACACTAATAAAGGAGTGCTTTCGTTGCATTATTCCATTGTAATTAGTAATGGTTATTCTACGATGCCAATGTTTACCGCTGCAACACAATGCGGACTGAGTAAGTTGAGCAAGGAGGTGGTCTTTTACGATATGTGCCCAAATATATTATTTTTCAAACCTAATATCGGATATACAAGATTTCACTAATCTGAAAAGTAAGCAACATTAGTTCATAGATTTACGTCATCCAGCTGAATGGCAGATGCAAAAATTGTTCATCAACTTCAGTCGGTATGCAGACATATTTCTTTCTAGTCATGACTCAGCCGTATAAAAGGTTGCTACCTTTTGCAATCCCAGAAGGGAAAATGTTAAAAAGAAAAAGAATTAAAAAGAAAAGTGACTGTTTTAAGAGTTGTGTGTTATGTACCGCCATATTTTTGAACAAAAGTTTTTTAAGAAGAACTATGGGTGTAAAAATTTACTTATCATTGATTAATATTGCTCTCATTGTCACGGCATGTTCAGATTTTAATGAAATATGGGTAATTTGAAACATGTAATTGTAATGACATGCAATATGTCATGAGGCAATGTGAAATAGATGCTAAAGACACAATAGCATATAAAACAACACAAATCAATGGAATACGCCGATGATATTGTAATTATATTACGATTCCTAATAGGAATGAAACAAAACCAAGATAATAGTTGGATTACGTAGACACCAAATGCAACCAACGCATATAGATATAGAAGAGGACTCCATACAATTGGTTGGCGAGTACATATATTTAGGGTTCAGGTTTGGGAGAGAGGAAGAGGACAATACTTAAATCTAAAGAGTTACGAAAACAAGATTGTATAAAACTATAATAAGGACCGTACTTTGCTACGGATGTGCAAGCTGGACTCTCAATAGAGGAGAGGCATTATTAGTCAATGTATTTCAAAGATGGCTTTTGAGGCGGATCTGGGGACTGGTTTGCGAGGGGGGATGTGAAGAATGAGATACAACAATGAGCTTTATAGTTTGTATGATGACCTAGATATCTCTATAATTATTAAGCTTAAAAGATTGTATTGGGCGGGTCATTCACAGCACATGGGAACTGAACGTATCTCTAAGAAGATATTTAATAGCGATTATGGTGGTAAGAGGAGAATCGGAAATCCAAGAAGTGGGGCTCTGGATCTGAAGTATTGGAAGCGTTTTTTGCCCATCCTGTTTTGAATCCGACAAAGTCACAAACACGACGAAGATTAATTACCCCCTTAGTCTCTACCATGGCCAGATGATACTGATAATAAACACATTTCACCAGTCGACTCAGCATTTATAACAGCTAGATACATGCTAATAGATTCATATATGTATCATTGTATGTAAACAAAAGGGTGATTCTCCTCTCAAAACGTCAAACCAACTCATGTCAATACGAAGCTTCCTTACGCGAACCTTGACACCAAACCAAAGCTTTAACACTAAATAAATAACGTTGCTGCTGCGGTCATAAAAGATTTACTCCCTAAAACAGTAGAGAAAATCAGATATTCTTCCGCCTTCGTACCAGTGAGACTAGCTAGTTTGAAAATACTTTGAGATCAATCATTTATTAATTGAATCCCTGAAGGAGGTTAAATCAATAAATAATCTTCGTTATGATCAACATGCAGTCCTTAAAACTAAAAAGTATTGCATCTTCCATAATTCTTTTAAAGTTACCTATCAAGATGTATTTCATCTTATGATATTATTTTGGACAGAGAATAAAATTTAAATTGATTTACTATTATTATTACCTGCAACATCACGTTCGCAAGGAATGCCGCTCCCAATAGAATTAGTTACGATGCATTGGTAAGTCCTGAAGGTGTCGATACCGGATTCCAAAAGAAGATATCCTTTTAGTCCGTTAACAGTGCTGGGTTCGATCGTCTCGTTTTCTCCCTTAATCTTAAACGAAAATGTCACTATGTCCGGGCTGGCGTGTGCGGTACAGAGCAAACTTGGCCGTCCATCTTGGTCTATAGGTTCTAAAGTGCATTCGGGAACATCTGTGTGTGTAAAAACGAGAAATCATAACGACATGAAGGTTATAAATCATCGCATTACGTCAAGCGAACTATTATAACGAGACTTTATTCGATTTGAAATGATCTTTTTAGTTCTTTTTTATATAAATATACTTACATGTAACTACGATAATAGCTGCTGTGGTCATATTTCCGTGTTTATTGGAAGCTTTGCATATGTATTTTCCCGAATCATTTCTGGTCACGGGTTTCAAAGATAATTTGTTGGTGTTGGATAGTTCTACTTCTGAATTTGCGCTACGCCAACTAAAAGTGAGTTGAGGGTGTCCTTTACCGCTACAAATAATTTCTTGCGGTTTTTCGTGTTCGTGTACTCTCAAGAAATTTGGTTGAGCGGTTAAATTATCTGGGGGATCTGTAATGAATATTAAGATGAAAGTAATCTATATATGTAAAAGAAAAACTTACAATCAACTGCGATTTCCATAGTTGAATTAACCCCAAAACCTGCTTCATTTCGCGTACTTTGGCATGTATAATTCGAGTTTGGTGCCGTTTTGTTTAATTGTTTACCAGGCCAGTTTTGCAAGTTCCATATCTATATTAGGTAATATTATATTAAAAGTGAGGTCTTTTTACATGATTTTAAAAATTGTTACCAATGTGCTTTCAACTGATTCGAAATCGTTTTTATTTGTGTCGGGTGGATGAAATATCTCCTTTATTCGATACTTGTTATCGTCAGCGCCAATCTTCACCCTATCCTTGTACCAGTGTATCTTGCACAAAGGAAAGCATTCGACGCGGCACGTCAAAGAAATATTCTCGGACGACACCGGTATGCCTTGGTATGGTATCAGGTTCTGTATAAAGGCCGGTGGAGCTGTAATCGATAAAAGAGAAGGTTTTTCAAAAAAGAAGTTGGAGCAAGTATGCGGGCGACGTGTTATACCGAGCACGTCCAGAGACAGGGATGCTGGCGAACTACTGCCCCCGGCGTTCTTCGCTATGCACGTGAAATTGCTCTTTGTCTCTAATGTGACCGGGGCTATCGTCCAGTTTGCCGTGTTCACGTCCGGTACTAGATACGAACCCCTGTACCATTCGTATGTGACGTCCTCTGGGATTCCAAGCCTTTCCACTGTGCAGTGTAGGGTGACGGCCGCCTTCTTCACGATCTTTGTAGGCGTAGAGCGTAGTTTTGTTCCTTTCGGAGGATCTTAAACGACAACCGGAAAAACGATCGCTGTTGTACGAAATTGAATGTAGTTAATCTTACAATAAACAATTAGTTCTTGATCGGTTGACTTTGGCCCCCATCCGACGACATTTTTTCCTTGGCAAGAGTAATTACCGGCGAAGGTCTCGGTAACGTTAAGTAAAAGTAGAACACTAGAATCGATCCCACAGTATGGACCACCGTATCCTTCTCCGTTTCCATCCTCGTCGTAGGACGTGTAGTTGCATTCGGGGAGTTCCAGTATAAGCTCGCCGTTCATGAACCACTTCACCTGCGGAAGTGAGGCGTAAATGGGGAGGTGATGGCGGAAGGTTCGGGGAGGTCACTTTTACCTTCGATAGGGCGACTGGATTTCCTGCAGACACCTCGCAGAATAACGTCACGTTACCCTTGTCCTCGGCACGTACCGGGCTTGCTGGATCGCGTCTCACTTCTACAGTAGGAGTGTCTGTGAAATAGATATTTGAGTCTCGGTTTTTTTATATCGTTTCAACTTACATTGAACGTTAAGGTAGATACTAGCTTCGGATTCTGATATTCCAACTTTATTCCTACATATACATTTATATTCGCCCATATCGTCCCTGCTGACATTTCGAATAACCAGAGCTAAATCCTCCATCGTACCACCTTCGTATTTATCGTCAGAAATTGTCAAATTTTGTCCATCTTTTTTCCTGATTCGTAAAATACAATATAAAATAGTTAATAAAAATTGTTATAATACTAACCATACAACTCCGAGTAATGCCATCGGATTTGAAATATAGGAGCATAACAGAAGGGTCCTATCCGATTCATTAACGGTAATGTTAACTGGTTCGACGACAACCACAGGAGGATCTGCATCATTAAATCATGAATGATTTATTGTCAGAATAATTTAAACAAACTTACATTCAACATCTATAATGAGAACACCCTGTAGGTCGGATTCCTTTTGGTCCCGGATAACGGAGTTGTCCGCGTAGCAGTGGAAGGAATTCCCGTTTTCCCACCGAGTTGCTTGAAACGCCAAAACGCTCCGGGTTGTGTAGGTGCCATCGCTCTGCAACCGGAAACGGAAAGGTTCGGGGTTAGAGGTTACGGGAATTGGACAAGTTTTATTGGAGACGGATGTCGTTGTCCTCTCGACGACGAACGCAAGTTGTATTGATCTAATCAAACAGCCAAGTTCGCACGTATTATGTATAAACAAAGAATTTAACTCCCATTAAATCCTATTGCAAAGAAATCTGGAAAACTTTTATCTTTTTGAAATTCCGCTTCCGTTCATGATTAACGTTTCCACTTCGAATTGTGCGCGCAATAAACGTCTACTTGTTCGCGCACGTATTCCGGAAGAAGGGCAGCAGATAAGATCCTTCTTAAATTAAAAGATACGGCCACCCAACCGCCGCCTTACCAGGAAACTATTCTTAATTTTTAACATCAGATAGCACCGTAAGTCATCGTGGGCTCTGAAACGCGCTCCCGCCTTACAACTCTAATCTTTGTCATGCATCAGACTGAGCGGAAATGCCCTCCAGATCGTAAGATACCGCAAACTTGCTATAACCGTCTGGAAATGTGGAAATGTCTTTTACAATTTCCAGAAATCTTCCACAACTTGATATATCTTTAGTTTATAAAAAATTTAATGTAAATATAATAGTTATTTATAATACAAGTGGGCTAGAAACATAATTACAGTATGAGTGCGGAGAATTGCACGACGAGGTCGTAGACCGAGTCGTGTAATCACACGAGTACTGTAATTATGTTCTAGCCCACGTGTGATATACAGCATTTTATATACGACTGCTAAAAATTACTAAAAAATCAATTTCTTTAGAAAAGTCTATTTGACATTTATAAAAATATTTTGAAATGATTGTTGACAATTTTGAATTGTCAGTTTCAACAACATGTTTACTCATCTGGAATAAGTGTTTTGAAATGTAAAAACATAAGAATTAATGTTTATAATAAATAGTATTGTTTCTCTGTAAGTAGATAGCACTTTTTCTTTTGTTGCTCGTTTCAATAAATTAAGTCTGTTCTGATTAGGCTAAAAATGCGTTACGTAATGAAACCAGTGCGGTAATGAACGTCATTACGTAACTCAAATCATCTCAAATGAGTGCGGTAATGATGACTTATCCAAGCAGTCGTAGATAAAAATTAATAACTCATACTATTATTTGCATCATAATTGTAGCTTTGAATACAAAAATGTTTGTTAATAATACGTATTTTCTTTTACTATAAGCCATCGTCGAATATGCCGAAACATCGCGATGCATCATCTTCTAATCAATGAAATGTACAACCAGGTGTTCCCACGAATAAAATTTTTGTGGATCTGAAATTGGGTTGATCTGCACTAATTTCAATCCAATTTCTAATAAGTAATTATGAGTCCATTTCCGACTCATAATTACTGCCACTATAATCTGAATTGCGTTCTATCTAATTAGTGCAACCAAAATTTTCGGCGTCAGACTTCGACATTGAAGAACAAATATTTTTCTTGTACTTAGTTTACAACTATCCGCAACAACAATTTATTTATATCTGGGATTAGTGAATTAGGAACCAAGCTGGTAATTTTTAGCCTTAACAGGTTTTTATCGGCTTGAGTCCACTATCAAAACGTGACTTTACAAAAGACTAACCTGTATTACAGGTGGTATATACCAATGGAAATAATAATGAAAAGATTTATCCCGTGGGAGATTGGGGATTGCACAATTTTGCCATATTTGAGTGCTCGAATTAGGCTAATACGGTTTATGTTAGCGTTTCTCTACCTGCGGCTAAATGACTTCTTCTTCCTTGTATGTTTTGATACACGCATTCACATTTGGTAACATTTCTAGTTTTTTTGTTTCACATTTCTGCTCCACAGCTCCAAGTTTCTACAAAAAGCACTAACTTTATGACTGCTATCCAACATATATGTATGTATGCTCCTTGGAGTTGTAGATTAACTCAATTTCATCACAAATAAAGAATACCGAAACTTTTCGGCTTCCGATCGGTTTTCCTCTTCTAGAAAAGTGGCAATTTCCTCTTTTAACTCATAAACATGTTGTAGAAATTTCCCACGCGATAACCATCAGGCCTCGCAATAAAATAGCAACGTCGAATGTTCTGCACCCATATCGTGCAAAGTGCATTAAGGATTCTTGATTTTGAGGTCTCATTTTTATATAATTTACTATAGTTACAACCATCGTTAGCACAATGTTGGGTCCAGACACAATGCGGAGATTTTTGTTTCACAAGTGCTTGTACACTTTGGAATCTTCCAGACATTGTACGGGCACCATCGGTGCATATTCCGTTGTAATTCTTCCACTCTGTTTGCCTCATTAATAAAACCATTTAAAATATTAAACAACGCGAGTGCTGTTGTTTTGAGTTGTATAGGTACACCATTACAAAATCGGACATAGGCAATTAAATGAGCGTCTTTATTGCTATCCGGGAGGGAATTCTGGGAATATTTGAAGGGATTTGAGGTGATTTATATGGTGGAGACCTGGGTTGATGAAAGAGGGTGGGCAAAGATTGACGGAAAGTTGCCAGAAGGGTATAGATGGAATTGCGTGTTTGCAGAGAGGAGAAGTAAGAGAGGAAGAGCGTAAATTACGGAGGAGAGTAAGACAGAGGGGTGATGGAGGCAGAAGGGAATGGTAAAAAGGCAAATCAAGCTAGAGCGAGAGAAGGTGCAGATAGTCACAGTACATAGCAAGGCAATGAAGAAGACAGTGAAGCAATGGGAAGATATGACAGAGGAGGGGAGGGAGGGTTACCTGATTATTGGAGGGGACTTTAATGCAAGAATAGGGGAAGAAGGGGGACGAGGGAGAGGGGCGACGGTCCAAGGATAAGATTCTGAATGGAGATGCTGAGGTGGGTAGAGGAGAGGGGATGGCAGATACTGAATGGGAATATAGAGGAAGGAGATGAAGGGGAATATACCTATATGGGTGCAAGGGGGGCGTCCGTGATAGACTATGTGGTTGTGGACCAACGAATGTGGGAGAGGATAGATACATTTAGGGTTAAACGTTTAAGATTTGCTGGAGGATATACAAACACGATATTGGAGATGGGTATTAGGGTTTGCAAGGAAGACTCCAGGGTATGTAGTGAGGGAGGAGGTTAAGGTGGATGCAGTAATGGTGGAGGTGGGGAGAAGAGCGTTGAAGTATGAGGAAATGATAGAACCAAGACCGCATTGCAGGATTTTGGGAGAGTGCTGGAGGGAAATTAAGGAGAGGAGGCTGATCTATGGGCAAAGAGACAGGGAAGAATATTATAGAAGAGTGGAATACTCACTAATTGGGATCGAAAATAGAAGAGCGGAAAGAGGTGAAAAGTGAAGAGAACTGAGAGATAGGAACATGGATATACAAAGGCAGGAAAGAAGGTCACAGATACGAGAAGAGAGATACAATGAAAGGTATGGGGAGATAGTGACAGAGAAACTGCCAAAGTATTTGTCGATGGAGGGGGATGATGAAGGGAAGAGATTCCGCTGTGGCAATGAGAAGAGGGGGAATAGGTACTGGGCAGATGATGTGGAGAGGTGGTGTAGGCTGTGTGGAGAGGATTGGGAGACGCTGGAACACATGCTGAGAGGGTGTAGTGAGCTAAGGGAGGAGGCAATAGACAAGAAGCAGATTTTGGGAGAGGAGGGCGAGGGCAAAAGATGGATGAGGGAGGTGATGGGGGCGAGGAGGCGAAGGTGTGGAAAGGGCGGAGGAGGGTAGATGATCTAGAGGCTTATATATATATATCTTGGTACCTCTGTACATTTTTGGCTATATCACCATTTCGGCGGGCAACAGTATCATTTGAAAGAGATATGGATTGCAATTGTTTGGCAAAATTATCTCCAAACACAGCTTCTACAATCTCCTTCGCAGATGGCAGAATAAGGTCTTTACCAATGGTAAAAAGGCTCACTTTTTACATCTGGCTATTTTATATGATACTTTGTAAGAGGCAAGTAAAGCTTTTTCGTTCACAGACAAAGTTTTTCTTCATATGATGTCTGCTGCCAAAATTTTATTAGGGTCAAAATAGATATATAGTAGTATAATAAAATGAAGCACAATATTTCCAATAGAACAATATTAATAAAATTTTGAATAACACATGAAAATTATTCTACGATTTCAATTTTGTTATTGTCTGGGGATGAATGTATTGTGGTGTTGAGGGTGTGGATGTAAACCTGGTGCAGACTGGCGTGATTCAGAGACAGTCAGGACCACCAAAAATGGGGTCACCGAGAGTAACCGAAACGCGAAATCGAGCGACCGGTTGCTGGGTTGCCAACTTCCCAACGCCAGAGCCCCGCCCCGTGTGCAAATTAAATTGGTCGCGCAAAAAGCGCAAAAATCTATTAGCGCCGCCGACCCACATTTGGCGGTAGCCCGCTTTTGGCTCACTACTACTGCCCGTTTTGCGTCTGTTAATTACGCGATTGCATTAAATCCCCCACAACTTTGGAACCGAGATTTACGGCGCGCATATGTGCGCTTTGGTGAGAAGTAATTGCAATGGAGAAATGCTGCAGGCAAGGAGAAAACACTTTTCAATGAGAAAACAAATAATTTATGTAATTCATACTATAACACTATACCTTGTTTATAATTATGGTGATTTTGTTACATTCATTTGGAGTTACTAGAATTTAAAAGATTTAGATTAAAGAGAAAAAAGGGTCTGAAAGTTTAATTAGAAATGCACAGTGTCTGCATTGGGTACGGTAAAGGGTAGAAGGGTGGTGGAAGTTGGATATAGGGCGATGGTGGTAGTATCGGGCGGAAACAGCCAGCACCACAGCGGGACTCTAAAATATTACTCGTGCACGCAGCTTTACATACGAAAGGCGGCTGTTCTGCTAATTTATTGCTCGGTGCCGAATACTTAACTCGCGAACCGTGTGTTCGAGAACCCCTTTTCGATTCTTTTATTAAGTCGTCCGGAGTTGCACAATCGCCCGATTAGTGGTGCTTTTACTGCGTTGTACGGCTATTACAATACAGCTCGGAGTTTTCGAAATAGTCGGAAGTCTGTTTTTCTTTTTGTACTTTAAAGCGAACGCAGCAACAACATATTGGAAGGATTATAATTAGTTACTTTAGAAACGTTGAATATGGAAATAATGTTTAAACGAAGTTTTTAAAAGAAATGGGTCAACCAGATTTTCAGTTTCCCGCTCGGCTAAATACTACTCGAGTTCTCCACGCTCAAGTTTCTTTCCATTCCTTTTTTATAATCACAAACACTGCAATATTTCACCAGGAGGACCCCATTAAGCTCGAAACGAATTACGGAATACAATAATTCTTTCGGGAAACGACGTGGCTCGAAACCGCACTGGCAGCACGTCTTTCCTGCCACCAGGGGGCGACGGAAAAACCACCAAGAGAAATTTCGAGAAATTATAATGACGCGACGCGCTCGGATGAGCGAGATTAATTAGCTTGTTAGATTATAATTGCCTTGCCCCTTGCGTTTGGAGACGTTTAAATTGCAACGTCTGCAACTTATAACATTTTGAAAAAATTTAAATCTAAAATTTATCTAAATTAATAATAACAAAACATACCGTGACTTGAGGCTCGGTACTAATCAATTTGTCGTTCGTGATGGGGGCGGATTTGTTGAACCATCTTATTTCCGCTGCAGGTTTTCCTCCAAAAACATCGCATCTTAGTTTAACATTAGTTCCCTGGACGACAGAATCATTTGCTCCATACAATCGTAAGCTGGTAGGGCGTACTACATACCGAAGTAACAAACGATAAATCATAAGTGGAAACGATTTCAATTGTACTTTACCGTTAACGTCAGCACTAAAAGACTTATGAACCGGTTTTTGTAGTGCATCACTTTCAACCCTGCATTCGAAGCTAGCTTGTAGATCTCCACGTGATAACAATAGCTCCAACTTCGCCAGTCCATTTCCAGTTCCGTCCCCATTATCAATCGTCGTATACTTGGCTGAAACAAAATTAACAATTATTTTTCATAAAGTCTATTTTATTATAAGAATTAATTAAAATGTTTATTGGCTGACAATAGATATGAAGGACTATCTCGTTGGCAGGAAATTGCTACGAAATCGTCGTCTGACTTCCCACAGTTTGCCCTTTGTATGTCGTAGATCCAATAAGGATCCCTGGGGGAGCCTGTTAATTCAACGGTCTGTAAAGGCCCGGAGCTGCCGCCGCTGCGAAACGTTATGAGGATGTGTGGGTGATGTATCCGGCAGTGCCGAAGACGACAACCTCGTCCTCAGAAGGGTAGTGGACTAGACCTCAGATTTATATTAGCGTTCTGTCGGAACTTGCATCACACGTCGTGTAGCCGTGCGTATATCGGTACAACAACCCCCTAATGAGAACTTCGGTGGCTCAGTAGGAACCATCCAACCGAAAATAAACATTATCCTCAAGGGTGCCAAGATCCTCATGCTGTGATAGAGTCTTATGTGTGTATAACTATACGATGTTAATTACATTAGGTGTAATTGTTTTTAAAAGAGCTATACCCAATAGGTTTGGTGACAATTTTTACACGAATAAAATATAAAATAGGAGAATTTACTATGGTTAAATAAAATGATAGATAAAATTCTATTTCAATAAATTGAAAGAAATACATAAGCACATAAAAAGTTGTCTATCAATATTATTGACTCTGACCACATTTACAATATCGTGGCGTATATTTTTTGTCTTTTCCATTACTGGTTCATGAATACTTGCTAAAATCAATACTTCACGCTTGTCTTTCCATTTTATAACAAATATTTTATCGGTGCAAGTAATGTCTTGGTCACCCTTCTCCATTTCGTTATTTTCTCGCATATACTACGTATATAAAAAGAATAGAAAATAAATTTCAATAGGGATAAATTATAGGTATAATTTGTACGATAAAATATAGATATGTACACCTCCAAAAGTTATAGAAAACAAAATGTTCATCAATATAATTAATAATCTGTGGCATAGCCTCCATTTTTAATAACTGCTTCTAATTGCGTTGTCATTGAAAGCAGAATTTATTTTGCTTCATTCATATTTCGTTTTCGTTTTTAACGCTTTTAAATTTGTTATGGAGTGTTATCGAATTTTGCGCTTAATCTCATCTCATAAATGTTTAATTGATGGGGATTTATATAGCAGCCAGAAGTGCATAACTTCTCTACTGTACTTGAAATCACTACCTTGTTTCCACAATATTTCCACAAAGACTAAACAAACACAAAAATTAAACGTGCAAATTGAAGGATTTCTATGAACTTGTTTTTGCTTAATTTAACAAGTGAAGAGAAGAATGACTGTTAGTTGTGGAAAATTACTAAGCGAATTAAAAGCCAAATACGTTAATTCCTTCCATTAAAAATTAAGGAATTAGGCGAATGGACAAGAGAAAAGAAACGGAAAGCTGACATATTTGCAGAATATTTAGCAGACGTCTTTATGCTGAATCTACTCTGTGATGATAAACATAAAGATAAAGATAATTTAAGGCCCACTTTTACCACCTCCTGATAAATTTATCCGATAGATAAATCCAATTCTTAGCCAATGAGAGCGCTTAAAACCGCCGTAACCATGGCAACTATCCTCTAGATAGTTTATCAGGAGGATGGTAAAAGTGGGCCTAAATCCAACAAAAATAATTCCAGTTAGCCCAAAAAAAGTAGCTGGAGTGATAAAATCTAATCTAACTCTTCAAAAGCATCGAACTTCGACATATTCATAGGACAATTACTTAAGCAGTTTTCATAATGGTAGTCACCTACTCAACGCAGTTATTACGTACTTGCAAGTTGGAAGGTTGCAGAAACCATTATGCTACTTAAGACAGATTAACCGTCGTATGACGCTAAATATAGACCGCCAACACCCATCAAAATAGTCTCCAAACAATTTAAGAAATTGTTTCTAAAATGAACTAAACGAATCTCTCAACAAACTAATTTAATACGATCAGACCACACGTAGGCTTCGGGTAGAAGCTTTTAACAATCGACGAAGTTCATTGTATTATAGACGTCATAGAGCACTAGAATAAAAAAAACAAGTTTGCTCTGCAGTGTTTGTAGACGTAGCATTCTAGTCTGATTTAAAGTCTGATGAGATCATTTATGATAATCTCATAGTTTCTTTAGTTTTTTACCTGCATACATTGCTATCCCGAACTAGAAACTACATTCAATGCATCGTACTATACTGGTGTAGTGCGGTGCAGTGAAAAACGGGTTGGTTCTGCGTAATAACTGCATGTATTCCAACAGTACTGTTCCGACATTATATCTTCTAGTTTGGTATCTATCGATTGGTACCAGACTTTATCAAATGCTTTTTCTGTATCAAGAAAAATTGAAAAACGCAAATCAAATTAGTGAGATGTTATAACTCTTTCCATTTCCATTATTGTGGTTAAGCGTTTCAGAAATAGCTTTTCAAAAAGTTTTTTGTATCATAATTACTTCTGCAATTCTCTAGCATGTTTGGACATGTTTTAATCAGAACACCTCATAGATCAATTTCGTTAATTTTATTATTTCCTTTTCATTGACAATTGTTTTAGATTTCTTCTGTTATTAGATCGTAGCTTGGGATTTTTCTGCTGTTGATCCTTTTTACTTCCCCTATAACTGCTTTTAGAGCAACTAGATCAATATCTATATCTTCTTGTTGAGCTTTGTTGAGATTCGTTCTCCTTTTAGTGTCATCGGATTAATTGGTTGAAACGTCTTCTCCACACGGTTAGCACATTCTCTCTTTTTTAAATCTATCTTCTAGGCGTTGAAGAAGAAATTTGTAGTCCTGCTTTTTAAATTATGTCTTGGCTGGCAGTATATAGGGTTGGCGTATAATGCTTATTTCTATTTTGACCGAGGTTAGCTGTATTTGCTCCCTTTCATAGAGGTTGATACCTTCCTACAAGTTTAGCGGTGGTGGTCGACAACACTGTATTTTTAGATATGATTGTCTCGTGAAATGCGTTTCTGATATTTAACATGAGGAGTTCCTGCTGGTGTTGAAGTAAATCATTAGCATTACACGTTATAATTGTTATATCATTGTAAATTGTTATACTTTTGAAATGGCTAATTTAAAGCCATGGCTTGTCAAAGTTTGGACATTCAAGTTAATCCAGCCTTTGCATAATCTTTCGTAACAAACTTATAGTACTATCTTCTCCGCCGTTTATTACATGATTAGCTTGTGATTTTTGGATTGATTGGATGGCCAGAGTTTAATTTTGGTTTTTCTGTCTGTTGGTCTTTAGTTAGTTTTTTTTTAATTTGGTTGGTCTTGGAAGGCTTGTTTTTAAGATTTTGTATTTCTCACGCTATGATGCAGTCTCTATAATTTGTCAGGATGTGTTTCTACGCAATTATAGAATTTAAGTTTGGATTATTGTGGCTTCACGCAATCTGCAGTTTGATGTTTTCCTGCGCACTTAACACACCTCGATTCTTTTCTGTAGAACCGTGTGTGTACTCAAACACTTGACACCTTTTGCACTGGAGCACTAATTTCGATTTTCTTGCCGCATCGATGTCAACTTTCATTTCCAAGATGGTTTTAATTTCGTAAAATCTTTGACTAAACTTCTCTACTAATGGAGAAGGGGCCTGTTTCGTTCCGACTTTACTTCAAATAACTCAAACTAGGAGGAGTATCTTCCTAAATTTTGTCGAAAAAGTTATAAAATCGAGTACGACTTTATTGATGCGGCGTACATTGTTGTATATGTCATTACAATTAAAAAAAGCAATCCGATATAAAATTTCAATCAAATTGTAACCCGATTTGGTACTTTAACCTGAAATTCAGCCAAATTTTCAAATTACTGCGCTATTTTTTAATTTAATAGTGCATTTTATATCGATGTACGATATGCAAATGTTAGTCTATCAGTGACATGTACAGTTTGTAATACCGCTACACCGATAAATTTCTCAATAAACTTCAAACTTTTTACCGAAAATTAAATTTTTTTTACCGGCAATTCGGTAATGAAACACCGCAACAAAATTGTCGTTATATTCGATAATAATTAAAACATAATACTTCTTGTAATCGCTAAATACAATTAACTGCAAATACTACATCTTAAAATCGATTTTCCAAACGGATATGCCTCGATATACGTAAGTTACGCTAAAGACCCACTTATAAGCACCGCACGAATCGCTGAAACCGGATGAAATGTGCTTAAGCTTTCTGTTTTTACTTATTTGCTTATTACTTGAACAAACTTTTAGAAAAGGAAACTTCAAAACTAAAACCCCTACCCGAAGGAAATATTTTGTCGCACGTAATCGTGGTTTTTCATTTCCACTTCGCACATATTTCATAAGACCCTATTCCGGTGATGTATAAGGAAATTTTTCAGTTTCAGTTAAATCACGTAAGAAATAAGGTTAAAAATAGAAAATTTTGTCATTGCAGGCTATATTGAATGTTGAAGGTTTGTTGATATTTATATCGTTTTCCTGTTACGAGAAGTTGTAATCTTTGTTTGCAAAGTTAATGGCGTTAGTTATAACCGTCAAGATGATACGAGATATTCTGCAAAGTGTGAACTGTTTGGAGAATATGAATAAGTTATACTTTTACTTTTAACTATGATTTCAAGCTATAAATAAGTGGTCTGAGTGGTTTAATTTGGAAAGTTACGAGTTCTGTAAAATCTGTTCACTCTTATAATTAGTAGTTCTTTTGTGACGTCTACACCAATGATGCAGAATGATTCGTAATGAGCTTTATCTCTTAGAGGATTCTTATGTCGGATAGAAGAGCTACGAATGATCCATAATCTTTCTGTTGCAGAGTTGATTGATTCCATCAAAAATCGCGCGCGGGAGTTCCTACTTAAAACGCAAGAGCACCTCTGAATATATTGAAAAAGTCAATATAGAACTATTAGAAGGCGAAAGTACGAAAATTTTATACGCAACAAGATTAAAGCCA